TCTTTAGCCCAGGCAAGACGCTTCTGACGCTGTCTGTGGTTCAAGAGTGGCTTGACACAAGGAATGCGACAGCAGAAACCCATGTCTTTCATACGTCTGTGTGTGGTGGTTCTTGAAGCACTCACTCCAGCTGCAGTCCACTCTTTGTGAATCTCCCCCACATTTTTGAAGGGGTTTTGTTTCACAATCCTCTCCAGGGTGCGGTTATCTCTCTTGCTTGTACACTTTTTTCGACCACATCTTTTCCTTCCCTTCGCCTCTCTATTAATGTGCTTGGACACTGAGCTCTGTGAACAGCCAGCCTCTTTAGCGATGACCTTTTGTGTCTTGCCCTCCTTGTGCAAGGTGTCGATGGTCGTCTTTTGGACAACTGTCAAGTCAGCAGTCTTCCCCATGATTGTGTAGCCTATAGAACTAGACTGAAAGACCATTTAAAGGCTTTTGCAGGTGGTTTGAGTTAATTAGCTGATTAGAGTGTGGCACCAGGGGCCATCAATTTTGAACCTTTTCACAATATTCTAATTTTCTGATATGATGAATTTGAGATTTTCATTTGTTGTCATTTGTAATCATCAAAATTAAACAAAATAAACATCTGAAATATATGAGTTTGTATGTAATGTATGAATATAATATACAAGTTTCACTTTTTAAATGGAATTACTGAAATCAATCTACTTTTTCATGATATTCTAATTTTATGACCAGCACCTATATATATATATATATATATATATATATATATATATATATATATGTATATATATATATATATATACATATATACATATATATATATATATATATGTATATATATATATATATATACATATATATTGAAACACTCAAGTCAGAAAAAGACATTTAAATTAATAATAAACTGTATTTAATTGCTGTTCAAAAAGCAAATGTATTAGTATGATTGCCATTGGACAAATAAAAAAACTAAACATGATAATCATATTCAAGTAGTACCCTTTTCTTACATTTATATAGTTTTGATAGGTTCTATGATCTTCTTAATTACTAATACTTTTTTCTCATTGAAATCACTATAATTAATTTTTTCTCTGTGGAAACATTAAACCATCATTCTATTTCTGTAAATATTTCTATTTCCCAAAGAACACTGAGTAGAGTTGAGAATGTCTCTCATTGTAAAGAACATTGCATTTAATATATTGTGTACTATTATGGCCTCTTTCTTCATCTCATCAGTACTGCATTATACATCTTGAAGAAAGTTAGGAGTGTTAACTCATTTTTCAAACTTCAAACGATCATGACTGTGCTCTTCTAGCACCTACATGTTATTAAAAACATCCTTTCATATATGGTACAAAAAAAGGAACTCATAAAACAGTCAGATGTAATAATTAGTTGGGTTGAACATCAATTAGACTGTATTTCTTCTATTTCCATTAAATAAGAAGAAATGTCATACAAAGTAATAAAAACAACCAAGACCTGCACAAATCGCTTGGCAAATGTAACAATATTTTGGTTAAAAACAAGTACACTCTATTACAAATCCATTTCCAATTCTTATAGAAACGACTTTTATCATAATGACCATATTTCTCTATAGTTATTTATCTTTCTACAAGTATTCCATTTTCTATGTAATTTCAGCTACTATATGCAACATGTCTTGATTTATATCTTCTTTCAATGATTAACTAAATTAAATTTAGACTAAATATATACACAATGTCAACATACAATACAGCATATTAAATTCTGTTAAATAACAAATGAGGATACAATACATAAAAACAAGAAAAAGTAAGGTATTTTAAAGATGTAGAAAATAACATAATATGGAAAGGGCAATAAGAAAATATAGAGTTAAGCGACTATAATGAGTTAAACTGTCTCAGATTTAGTGCGCTGCCCTCAAGGAAAGCCTGCATAACATTTAATGATTTACAGATCAGCTCAGTTTGATGCGGTTTTACGGTTACTGCTGTGCAAAGGCAACTCTTAGTGCTTCACAATGTTGTTGAAAGCTGAAGTAAATAAAGTGAACATGTGTTAGTCCCACTAACAGACTGGAGTATTCTTATAGCAAGACTAAACACAGAAACATGACATCCTTTCTTTCCTGAACGTCACATCTGGGCCTCTGGGTAGTTCAGCTGCAGTTCATGTTTTCACTTCAGGAAACTTTTGTTTTTGTTCAGTGGTTTGTTAGAACAAATGCAACAGTTAATACATGCATTATTGATGATTTATTTAATCTTTTCCATTTAAGTTTTATATAAAAACTAAAAACATAGATTTTTTTTTACCAGGTAAATTCATCAAAGCTGAAATATAGATGTACATTTACAGTTGGGGTGCTCATGGAGATACAAGAATGTCTTTTTGAGGTATTTGGTGAAATATCAGATATTTAGATCATATATGACACTAAAGCACAACTTGGCTGTAGACGAGCTGGTTTGCCCACATCTCTTTTATTTTCTTTCTTCTTTTTTTTTTTTTTTTATCTCTACGCTCTGTTTATAAACATGGAAAGAACAAGATGGTTGAAAACTCTGGAAAATGGATTAGTGAAGGAGCAGGAGCCAAAATGGGAACAAAGACTAGACTATCCACAGGGCGGCGCTGTTCAATTACCAAAGATGAAAAAACTTTCATTAATGTTGAATACTATTTAATGAATGATCATTTAATGCATAATTTAATCTTTTATTAATCAGAAATATACAAAAGTAATTAAACATTCAGAAAATGTAAACAGAAGAGTAAAACATTTTTTTTTTATTTATGTTGGAAAATGAAGTTTTTTGCTGTTTTAAGAATGTTAGCTAAAAAAACATATTTTCTTTAAATTTATTGATTTCTTTTTTCTAAAACCATTTTATTTTATTTTTTTCACCATTAAGATCAGATATGTTTAGCGTAGACAAATTGTGGCCAGACTAAACTTCATCAGTGTGGTATTTTAACTTAATATCTATCTTTAATATTGTTTGAAAAAAATATTTTATTTTGTAATTAGATCTGGCTGTTATTCTTTTTTTTTTTTAAGTTGATTTGAATTATAAACCAATAACATTATTTATCCATTGTTATGATTTTCTAAAACAAACCAAAAGGGATTTTTTTTTTCAAAAGAAATAGGAAGACGTAACTAGCTCTAACTAGTGCTTAGGTAAATCATGTTGACCTGCAAATTCCTCATAAAGGCCTTAGTTATTTTGCCCATTTAAGCATATCATTTTTAAGAATTGTAATGTATTGAAATCCAGCTTGCAATTTACTGTACATTTTCTGCTTTGAAATGTCACTAGTTATTTACAAAAGATGTGTTGGTCTTCCTATTTGGTACAGTTCAGAGCTGCTGTTTCTAACTTTTTCAGAATTTGAGCCACAAAATCAGAAAGCAGGAGACTTGTGCCATCTGCTGCCGGATGATTAACTACCAAATTGAACAAGGCCATTATTGCAGCACAAACAGCACTATAAAACATTATTCTATTTTATCTGTTTTTTTAATCATTACATAAATATACATTCATTACAAGAGTCTTTGTCAAGACAACAGTTGTCTATTTCTGGCCTCAAGTGGAGTTTTGGAAACACCTTATTGAGAGGATAGGGATTTAAATGTTTTTTGTTTTTGCTGCTAATGGCCATAAAATGTATTGTTCATCTTAGCTGCTATGATGCCAGACAGTAGCTCCCATGTACTAAGGCAGGGTATTGGTAAATGGTAAATGGCATGTACTTATATATCACCTTTATTCAAGTCAGGAGACTTGACCAAAGCGCTTTACACTACATTCATTCACCCATTCACGCACACACTCACACACTGATGGTGGCAAGCTACATTGTAGCCACAGCTGCCCTGGGACTCACTGACAGAAGTGGGGCTGCCGTACACTGCATTTCACTTCACCTGCATTGTCAGTAGATAATGCAGGCAAAGTGTCTTGCCCAATACACAATGACACTGAAAGTCAATCCTTCGATTTCAGGGCAAACTCCTACATCCAACACCACTGTCGCCCTTATTGGCTGGCAGTTGTTTAGGACCAGTACCTGCTTGGGATTCTAGGGGATCGGGACCGTCTGCCCTTCTATCAGCCATTCATGGTGTATCTTATCCATTAGCATCAGGTTTATTTGTGGTGCCTGGCAACCAGGAAGTGTAGTTAGCTTCTTTAGCCAGTATGTGTGAATCCTGTCAGGGCCCAGTGCTGTCCAGCTCTACAAATGTAAGACTCTTCCTTTGATGTTGGCTACTGTGATACTAGATCCTTTTCAGGCAGGTTGTTGTGGTCTGCTCTGTGTGTTGCAGCCTTCTCTCATATTCTCTTCCGGCATTGCCCTGTCTGTAACCTTGGTTGGGGATGCTGTTCTCTTGTTTTTCCCCTCTTCTAAGATGGTTCAGTGGAGACTATCTGGTTTATTCTCCTGGCTTCTATATCTTTGGTGTACCTCTTAAGGGGTTAGCCAAGGCAGTCTTTGCTAAGTAGTTTCTAAGGCCTCAGGTAAGGACAGCTCACTGTATTTTCTTCTGCTCCAATAGCTGGTTAACTTCACTTCATGCTGCGTTGAGTCTCCAGTCATCATTTCCATGGAGGGGCATTGCTCCTTGTGGCTGTTCATGTTATAGTATACATTGGCTGATTGTTTCCATTCATGGTCAAAGTAGGGATTGTCCATAGTTCTGTATTTGCATCTTGTAGTAGACTTTAAGAGGGTACTTCATGCGGTCTTGCAAATCAGTTACAGGGGACTCCGGGTTTCTAGTTTAGCCTAGTTTAACTGCTCTGACACTCAACATACCAGCCATTCTTGGGACTTGTTACCCAGTCTTGGGGGATGATGATGCTATCTCTGCCCAGAACCCACAGTTGGCTCCCCCTAGCTGTAGCATTTGTATTTCCCTAGCATATAATATAAGTAGCCGTTTAATGGAGTTTTTGCTTTAAAACAAATGTTTTACTGATCACTCAGTTAAGGTTATACAGACGCGGCGCGGAGACATGCAATGGTAAATTTTTATTAAACTTTTTCTGTGGAATAACAATGTAAACTGCACATAGTGAAGATATAAAATCTGTCAAACTGATGTATTCCTTTGGCTGGTAGATCAGGAGCGAGGCACCAGCTTCAGTTGGATGGGTCTTTTCGGTGCAAGAAAACCCTGGACATCCATCTCAAAAGGGATCTGGCAGATAATTCAACGTTTAGGAGAAAAAACAGTAAAGATTGCACAGAAAAACATGGCGTCTGTCAATTAATTTTAAAAATTCATCAAAAAAACAACACCTATTGAGAGATGCCTCATGGCTTTTAAACTATATTGCTTCTCACAGCATGTGAAACAGAATGATATCAGCATAAATTACTGACAAAAGCTCTGTGATAGGCAGAGTTTATAAACTTTGGGTGGACAAAGATAAAAGTCATAATGTTACGTAACACCAAAACAAGGTACTGTTTCGATTACCAATAAAGGAGATTTCAGGTTACTGTAGTCTCACCTCAGTCTCTTTACAAGTAGAGAAGCTGTACTGCTGGAGAATCTCTACCACGGCCAATTTGATCATCACCAGAGCAAATCTCATGCCAATGCAGTTCCTTGGCCCAGACCCAAAAGGCATGTATGTGTATGGATCGATTTTGTCCTTGTTTTTCTTGCTAAATCTAAACAGACAAACACAGAAAATATATATACAAACACACTCACATCTGCATATGCATTATATATATATATATATATATATATATATATATATATATATATATATATATATATATATATATATATATATATATATATATATATATATATATATATTGCATGCCATAGAAAATTGGACCAATTTAACGTATTAACCCCGAAGGAAACCTTAACACTGTCATTTCTGTGAAAATCTGAGGTACTCTCTGTTAAACAGGATCTTCCTCCACTGGAGACAAATCAGAGGTAAAGTGGACTTCAGAAAACGTTTTCGGTTTCTGAAAAAGGTTATTGAGAAAGAAATGCACCTTAAAAACATTAACTGTGTTCTTGTAGTTCAATGTTCAAGTATGGAGAACTTACATGTCGAACCTCATGTATTTTTCCTTTAAGGATTAAAAAAACTTAACCAAATTGAAGTTTCTGACCTAAATGTCTTTTATCTTTGCTGATTATTCTATTTTTTAAATTCTGTACCTTGTTGGGAAAGGTGGCATCAATCTCCTCCTGAAGCATTTTCATCACCTCTGGGTTTGTAGCCAGATTGTAAGCCAGGAAGGTGAGAGAGCTACTGCTTGTTTCAAAACCAGCAAAAATGAATGTCATGGATTGAGATAGAAAAAACAGTAAAGATTGCACAGAAAAACATGGCGTCTGTCAATTAATTTTAAAAATTCATCAAAAAAACAACACCTATTGAGAGATGCCTCATGGCTTTTAAACTATATTGCTTCTCACAGCATGTGAAACAGAATGATATCAGCATAAATTACTGACAAAAGCTCTGTGATAGGCAGAGTTTATAAACTTTGGGTGGACAAAGATAAAAGTCATAATGTTACGTAACACCAAAACAAGGTACTGTTTCGATTACCAATAAAGGAGATTTCAGGTTACTGTAGTCTCACCTCAGTCTCTTTACAAGTAGAGAAGCTGTACTGCTGGAGAATCTCTACCACGGCCAATTTGATCATCACCAGAGCAAATCTCATGCCAATGCAGTTCCTTGGCCCAGACCCAAAAGGCATGTATGTGTATGGATCGATTTTGTCCTTGTTTTTCTTGCTAAATCTAAACAGACAAACACAGAAAATATATATACAAACACACTCACATCTGCATATGCATTATATATATATATATATATATATATATATATATATATATATATATATATATATATATATATATATATATATATATATATATATATATATATATATATATATATATATATATATATTGCATGCCATAGAAAATTGGACCAATTTAACGTATTAACCCCGAAGGAAACCTTAACACTGTCATTTCTGTGAAAATCTGAGGTACTCTCTGTTAAACAGGATCTTCCTCCACTGGAGACAAATCAGAGGTAAAGTGGACTTCAGAAAACGTTTTCGGTTTCTGAAAAAGGTTATTGAGAAAGAAATGCACCTTAAAAACATTAACTGTGTTCTTGTAGTTCAATGTTCAAGTATGGAGAACTTACATGTCGAACCTCATGTATTTTTCCTTTAAGGATTAAAAAAACTTAACCAAATTGAAGTTTCTGACCTAAATGTCTTTTATCTTTGCTGATTATTCTATTTTTTAAATTCTGTACCTTGTTGGGAAAGGTGGCATCAATCTCCTCCTGAAGCATTTTCATCACCTCTGGGTTTGTAGCCAGATTGTAAGCCAGGAAGGTGAGAGAGCTACTGCTTGTTTCAAAACCAGCAAAAATGAATGTCATGGATTGAGATAGAAAAAACAGTAAAGATTGCACAGAAAAACATGGCGTCTGTCAATTAATTTTAAAAATTCATCAAAAAAACAACACCTATTGAGAGATGCCTCATGGCTTTTAAACTATATTGCTTCTCACAGCATGTGAAACAGAATGATATCAGCATAAATTACTGACAAAAGCTCTGTGATAGGCAGAGTTTATAAACTTTGGGTGGACAAAGATAAAAGTCATAATGTTACGTAACACCAAAACAAGGTACTGTTTCGATTACCAATAAAGGAGATTTCAGGTTACTGTAGTCTCACCTCAGTCTCTTTACAAGTAGAGAAGCTGTACTGCTGGAGAATCTCTACCACGGCCAATTTGATCATCACCAGAGCAAATCTCATGCCAATGCAGTTCCTTGGCCCAGACCCAAAAGGCATGTATGTGTATGGATCGATTTTGTCCTTGTTTTTCTTGCTAAATCTAAACAGACAAACACAGAAAATATATATACAAACACACTCACATCTGCATATGCATTATATATATATATATATATATATATATATATATATATATATATATATATATATATATATATATATATATATATATATATATATTGCATGCCATAGAAAATTGGACCAATTTAACGTATTAACCCCGAAGGAAACCTTAACACTGTCATTTCTGTGAAAATCTGAGGTACTCTCTGTTAAACAGGATCTTCCTCCACTGGAGACAAATCAGAGGTAAAGTGGACTTCAGAAAACGTTTTCGGTTTCTGAAAAAGGTTATTGAGAAAGAAATGCACCTTAAAAACATTAACTGTGTTCTTGTAGTTCAATGTTCAAGTATGGAGAACTTACATGTCGAACCTCATGTATTTTTCCTTTAAGGATTAAAAACTCCACTCTGGAGTTGCCCACGGTGAGAGGCGCCGGGCAGGAGTGGGCATACTTGTTGCCCCCCATCTCGGCGCCTGTATGTTGGGGTTTATCCCGGTGAACGAGAGGGTAGCCTCCCTCCGCCTACGGGTGGGGGGACGGGTTCTGACTGTTGTCTGTGCTTACGGGCCGAACAACAGTTCAGATTACCCACCCTTCTTGGAGTCCCTAGAGGGGGTACTGGAGGGTGCCCCTCCTGGGGACTCCCTTGTTCTGCTGGGAGACTTCAACGCTCATGTGGGCAATGACAGTGAGACCTGGAGGGGCGTGGTTGGGAGGAATGGCCGCCCTGATCTGAACTCGAGTGGTGTTCTGTTGTTGGACTTCTGTGCTCGTCATGGATTGTCCATAACGAACACCATGTTCAAGCATAAGGGTGTCCATATGTGCACATGGCACCAGGACACCCTAGGCCGCAGTTCGATGATCGACTTTGTCATCGTTTCATCGGACTTGCGGCCGTATGTCTTGGACACTCGGGTGAAGAGAGGTGCAGAGCTTTCCACTGACCACTACCTGGTGGTGAGTTGGCTCCGGTGGTGGGGGAGGATGCCGGTCAGACCTGGCAGGCCCAAACGTGTTGTGAGGGTCTGCTGGGAACGTCTGGCGGAGTCCCCTGTTAGGCGGAGCTTTAACTCCCATCTCCGGCAGAACTTCAAACACATCCCGGGGGAGGTGGGGGACATTGAGTCCGAGTGGACCATGTTCCGTTCCTCCATTGTCGAGGCGGCTTATCTGAGCTGCGGCCGCAAGGTTGTCGGTGCCTGTCGTGGCGGCAACCCTCGAACCCGTTGGTGGACACCTCCGGTGAGGGATGCTGTCAGGTTGAAGAAGGAGGCCTATCGGGCCTTTTTGGCCTGTGGGACTCCGGAATCAGCTGATGGGTACCGGCGGGCGAAGCGGCATGCGGCTCGGATGGTTGCTGAGGCAAAAACTCGGGTGTGGGAGGAGTTTGGAGAGGCCATGGAGAAAGACTTCCGCACGGCTCCGAAGCGATTCTGGTCTGCCATCCGGCGTCTCAGGAGGGGGAAGCGGTGCAGCACCAACACTGTTTATAGTGGGGATGGTGTGCTGCTGACCTCGACTCGGGACGTTGTGGGTCGGTGGGCGGAATACTTCGAAGACCTCCTCAATCCCACCAACATGTCTTCCATTGAGGAAGCTGGGCCTGGGGACTCTGGGCTGGGCTCTCCAATCTCTGTGGGCGAGGTCGCCGAGGTGGTTAAAAAGCTCCTCGGTGGCAGGGCCCCGGGGGTGGATGAGATCCGCCCGGAGTTCCTCAAGGTCCTGGATGTTGTGGGGTTGTGTTGGCTGACACGACTCTTTAACATTGCATGGACATCGGGGGCAGTCCCCCTGGATTGGCAGACTGGGGTGGTGGTCCCCCTATTCAAAAAGGGGGACCGGAGGGTGTGCTCCAATTACAGGGGAGTCACACTCTTAAGCCTCCCCGACAAGGTCTATTCGGGGGTGCTGGAGAGGAGGGTCCGTCGGATAGTCGAACCTCGGATTCAGGAAGAGCAGTGTGGTTTCCGTCCTGGTCGTGGAACGCTGGACCAGCTCTACAACCTCAGCAGGGTCCTGGAGGGTGCATGGGAGTTCGCCCAACCAGTCTACATGTGCTTTGTGGACTTGGAGAAGGCGTTCGACCGTGTCCCTCGGGGGGCCCTGTGGGGGGTTCTCCGGGAGTACGGGGTGCCGGGCCCTTTGATACGGGCTGTCAGGTCCCTGTATGACCGGTGTCAGAGTCTGGTCCGCATTGCCGGCAGTAAGTCGGGCTCGTTTCCAGTGAGAGTTGGACTCCGCCAGGGCTGCCCTTTGTCACCGATTCTGTTCATTACCTTCATGGACAGAATTTCTAGGCGCAGCCAAGGTGTTGAGGGGATCCGTTTTGGTGGCCTTAGGATTGCGTCTCTGCTTTTTGCAGATGATGTGGTCCTGTTGGCTTCATCAAGTCGTGATCTGCAGCTCTCGCTGGATCGGTTCGCAGCCGAGTGTGAAGCGGCCGGGATGGGGATCAGTGCCTCCAAATCCGAGGCCATGGTCTTGAGCCGGAAAAGGGTAGAGTGCCTTCTCCGGGTCAGGGGGGGTGTCCTGCCCCAAGTGGAGGAGTTTAAGTATCTTGGGATCTTGTTCACGAATGAGGGAAGAAGGGAGCGGGAGATCGACAGGCGGATTGGTGCAGCGTCTGCCGTGAAGCGGGCACTGTACCGGTCCGTCGTGGTGAAGAGAGAGCTGAGTCAAAAAGCGAAGCTCTCGATTTACCGGTCGATCTACGTTCCTACCCTCATCTATGGTCATGAACTCTGGGTCATGACCGAAAGAACGAGATCGCGGATACAAGCGGCCGAAATGGGTTTCCTCCGTAGGGTGGCTGGGCTCTCCCTTAGAGATAGGGTGAGAAGCTCGGTCATCCGGGAGGGACTCGGAGTAGAGCCGCTGCTCCTCCACGTCGAGAGGAGCCAGTTGAGGTGGCTTGGGCATCTGTTTAGGATGCCTCCTGGACGCCTCCCTGGTGAGGTGTTCTGGGCACGTCCCACCGGGGGGAGGCCCCGGGGAAGACCCAGGACACGCTGGAGAGACTATGTTTCTCGGCTGGCCTGGGAACGCCTTGGGGTTCCTCCTGAAGAGCTGGAAGAAGTGGCTGGGGAGAGGGAAGTCTGGGCCTCCCTTCTTAAGCTGCTGCCCCCGCGACCCGACCCCGGATAAGCGGAGGAAGATGGATGGATGGATGGATGGATTAAAAAAACTTAACCAAATTGAAGTTTCTGACCTAAATGTCTTTTATCTTTGCTGATTATTCTATTTTTTAAATTCTGTACCTTGTTGGGAAAGGTGGCATCAATCTCCTCCTGAAGCGTTTTCATCACCTCTGGGTTTGTAGCCAGATTGTAAGCCAGGAAGGTGAGAGAGCTACTGCTTGTTTCATAACCAGCAAAAATGAATGTCATGGATTGAGATAGAATCTCATGGTCATTTAAACCTGTAGAAAACAACAGAGTTAAATGGTTCACAAAAGCAAGTTATGTAGCGTGTGTGAATTTACTTGTGTTGAAGTGTGCCTCACTTTTGTCCGGTTGCACCTCACTGTTCTTTTGGGAATCAATCATCAGTTGTAGAAAATCTATCCGACTCTAGAAGTAAACCAGGGAAGGTCAGGTCACGTTCTAAAGCCTGCTTGGAAAAAGATAATCTTAATACTGGAAAAGAACGTCGTCCTTGACTCTACCTTGTCTTTGCTGCCTTCACGGTTAGCTTTGATCTTTCTCAGAGAAGCATAGAAGAAGTCGGTCACAGATGCAGGAAAAAAAGAAAATTCAAACTTTTCAAGTATGGGACGGAGAAAGGGGAAAAATGCTGAAATTAAAGCAACAAAAACATCTTTTAGTAGTGGAATAGGAAGGTCAGGAACTATTTTGGCTGTTTTAGTTTGGAATTTGTGAAAAATGGATTCTGAGTAATGAATAAATGCATGCCATTATTAGCTAAAAGTACAACAAACACTATTTTTAGATTAAATTAAAAAACAAAATTTTCAAAAGTGTCCTTTTCATTTTTATTTTTCTACGATACGCGACCACTTCTGTTACAAAATATTTGCTAAAGCCTAAGCTGAGGCTAACTTTATGTGCTCTCAGTTGCTTTTATTGTATGCAACCTTTTCATACCACTCTAAGGCCAAGAGATAAAAGGCTATATTACCAGGGAGACACTATCACAGCTGCTGCTATGTCTGATTTATTTGTGTTCAAACAAGGAAAACATTATGTTTTTAGCCTTATCCTTTTTTTGATAAACAGTAAATAAAATAATTATATTCTTTTAGAAAACCTATGAGACACCTCAGGTATTATTTATCAACATCTTTACTAAAATTGCAGCAAATAAAAGCTGAATTGGTTGAAGCATCTCTGACCAACAATAAAGCTAACAAACAAACATTGTGAGAAACAAATTTGTCACAATGCTAAAACTGTGACTTAGTGCTTTAGTCTTATAAAAGGAAATCTGGTAGAACAAAAGTTTCCATTATAGCACTTTGATAATGAGCCCTACAGACTTTAATGCAAGTCAACTACTGTGTAGTCTTTCCTTTGTTCTCTGCTGTGCAGATATTTTTTTTATATCTAAAGGAAACATAATCCAGGACATTGCAACTTTTTTATTTTCTTTTGTACTATATATACTGTTTTTATATTGTCTGTTGTATTTTTTATCTTTAATGACAATTTGCTTTAATTCTGCCCTTGTGCTCTCTATAAGCTACTGGAACCAGAATTAAAGTAGTTAGACATTCACCAAACCTGCAGAATAATTAGTTGAGTCTATGTCTGAGTCTACAATGAGGCACAAACACTATATAGATATTCTTAGGAGGTTGTTATTCTCCAGTCTTATGAAAGTTTTTCTTCAGTCTTTTGGTACTCTTCAATTGAATTAGAATATTTCGAAATATAACTTCACAAATGTCAAACATTGTTGTAAGACTCAAAGGAGAACTTTACCGACTGCGAGGAAGAGGGGGTTTAAAAAGTCAAACTTCAACATCTTCTTGATATTTATCACAAACGGGTCGGCTGGGTTGTTCAGGGAGTCGATGTCTACACTGAAGGCCGTGCTGGTTACCACATCCATACTGTACGATCCAAAGAATCTAAATTCAAACACAAATATGTTTAAAATAAGCTCACCAGCTTTGATAGGAGTGAAAGTAGGCATCATTTCTGTGGTGATTTAAAGTCCTACTCCTTTAGCTCTAATGGTTCGTCCTTGTCTGCCTTCTTTTTCATGCTGCGGACCAGGTTAGCAGAATGATTCTTCATGATTTCAAACATCTGAAGCACAAATAGACATGAAAAAAGAAATCATTTGTAGTTCACACAAAAGAAATCATATGTCTTAGCAAAAAAATAAATTTTGCACGGTTCTTTAATAGCATACAGTAAATATGCGTTTACAACAAAAGATGAATTGATTTCAAAGCTTTTTGTCGATCCTTACAGACAAGGATGTGATTGGTAGAATCAATGATGGTAAAGTTAAAAGATGTCTCTTAACATCTTTTTAGGGCGCTCACCTCCTTCAGTCTCCCAGAAGTGAAAGAAGGAGAGAGGACTCCTCGGATCCTTTTCCATTGCTCATCCTCAGCAATGGAGACGGCGTCATACAAGTGCCCATTCAAACCGAAATTCTGTAAAGGGGATAAGACAGCAGCTGATGAGAGGCAACATTAAACATGAATCACTGAGACTTTATAAAAGTTGTAGAGCAATGACTGCATACTCTGCGATTGGTGAAGTGAGAAAGGCATTCCTTAACCAGAACAGCCTTTATGATTTCAGGATCTGCAACACACAGGAGAGGCTGGCGGCCCTCATACATGCTAAAAGATAAAAATGAAGCAAACAATTTTAACTATAAATTTGTATTTTTATTGTTTCTGTCTTAAAGACTGCTTAGCATTTGACTAGATTATAAAGACTGCTTTACAAAAGTAACTACAACCTGAATACTCACCCCCATATTTTCCCGTATTTCTGATAGCATTCTTGATCAAAGAAGAAGTATCCCTGGTTACAAAAATTAAATATACACTTTAATATACTTTTAAAAAACATTTTATACATTTTTCACCGAACTGAATGAACGAATCATTAGACCACTCTCAAAATAGTTGTTTATACTTAGCAATATTACATTATGGTGTCTAATATAATTTACAAATTCATTTGCAATCAAAACAGCATGATAAAAAAGTCTACTCCTACCTACTAGACTAATCTACATTAGAATACTGGAACTTAAAATGTAGTGCATCAAACTGGCCCTATTTACTTTTTTCACAGAACCTACAGATTGTAAATTTAATACATATACAAAAAATGTATTAACCAGAGAAAATAACTGCATAACAAATTACATTCCATCTGATTTGTACTCTTAAATGTGCATTTATGACCATATAAACCATAAATAGACTTAGGTGTTCTAGCCTACTCTGTGCAACCAGAACTAGAACCAAACATGGTGAAGCAGAATTTAGTTCCTATGCTCCACTGATCTGGAACAAACTCCCAGAAGACTGTAGAAGTGCTGAAAGCCTGAATCCTTTTAAGTCAAAGTCAAAAACTCATTGGTTTAGAACAGTTAAACCATTAACTGAGGTATAATTAGTTTAAAGTTGTGATCCAACTGTTTTGTTTGTTCTACTGTAACCAGGTGAAAAATGGGTAAATGTCAAAGATATATTTTGTAAACCATGTTTTGTTTTTGTTTCACTGACTGGTTTTAATTCTTGTTCTTGTCAGCATGTGGTGCTGTTGGTACAGAGAGGTCTAAAGTTACCAGAAACGGAGAAAAAAACTCTTGTTCATGTACCGTGGTACTCTAACTGGAAAGAAACGGAAGAGAAAGACTTTTTTTTTTTTTTACTGAGACTTGTTGGAGAAGACAACTCTATGGTCGGTGTAATGCAGCCGCAGATGCATTGTCACGACACCCATTAGCAGGGGAGCCAGAACCAACTGAGGATGAGGAGTTTGATGATTGCATTGCAATTTGATCTGTAGAGGCACTGCCCTTCAGCCGGAGCTGGTTACAGCTGGGGTCAAATGTTGTCAGCTAAACCAGATCAGGGCTGCAGAAACTGGTAAGGTCGAGTCACATCCTAAAAAGGCTACGCCAACTCTTCCCGGTTATTCCAAGGAAGAGCTGCGGACATTTCAATGTCAAGATCCAGTGATTCGTTTTTTAAAACAGTTTTTGGATCGAGGCAGACCACCCAGTTCACAAGAAAAGAAAAACCTTCCTGTTGCTGCCAAATCATTGTAGAAACAATGGAAACACATTAGGATACGTGATGGATTGGTGTACAAAGTGGTGAGGGATGATCATGTTGGAGAGTGTTTTCAGTTGCTTGTTCCAGGTTGTATACAAACAGCTGTAATGAAGAGTGTTCATGACTCCATGGGACATCAGGGAATAGAGAGGACATTACAGTTGTTGAGACAGAGAGCATTCTGGGTAGGGATGCACAAAAATGTTGAGCGATGGGTCAAGAATTGCGAACGTTGTATTCTCACAGAGATGCCCAATCCAAGGATTCACCCTCCAATGAAATCATTTTTGGCAACACGACCTTTAGAAGTTGTGGCAGTAGATTTCACGCTCCTTGAACCAGCCTCCGACGGCCGTGAAAACGTTCTAGTCATTACCAATGTCTTTACAAAGTTCACTCAGGCGTTTCCTACACGTGACCAAAAAGCAGAGACCACAGCTAAAATCCTCTTAAAAGAGTGGTTTATGAAGTACAGTGTACCTGAACATCTCCACTCAGATCAGGGCCGTAACTTTGAATCAGAGGTTATTGCTGAACTTTGCAGAATGTATGGTGTGAAAATAACGCGTACAACACCCCATCATCCGACAGGGAATGCACAGTGTGAGCGTTTTAACCGCACTCTGCATGAACTGTTGCGCACACTTCCACCTGACAAAAAGAAGCGTTAGCCTGAACATTTACCTGAGTTGGTTTATGCGTATAATGTTACTCCACACGCGACTACAGGATATTCCCCTTACTTCTTGCTCTATGGGGTAGAGCCACATCTTCCTGTTGATGCATTGCTTGCAAACGAAAGTCATCATGATAAAAATCTTGATTGGCTTGCTGTGCATCAGCAAAGACTCAAAGAGGCACATGCTAAAGCAAAAGAGTATACTGAGCGGAAAACAGCCAGACGCATTGCTCAGCATAACCACAAAGTGTACTGTCCTTCAATTGATGTCGGAGAGTATGTTTATCTGAGACACAGACCAGCTGGTCGTAACAAAATTCAGGATGCATGGAGCCCAGTTGTATACCGACTTATAGACATAGTAGGCACAACTTGCACAGTACAACCTGTAGAGGAAGGACCTACAAAAATGGTTAACAGGACTGACATCAGGTCATGTGTTAATCTGCCAGTCACAAACCAAAGACCCGTTGAAAACACAGTAACCAAACAGACAAGCACTACTGACCCACACACTGACTCATGTATTGAGAATGATGGGGGCATAGTCATTGAAGAGGTTTCTTTTGACTTGACTCCCTGTTCAGGTGGAGAAAATTGTCCTATTGGTGACAGTATTCAGAAACGAGCAGAAACTCAGTTGATTTCACAACTTAAACCTCCTGTGATTGAGCAGGTGGAAACTGAGATTGTTGACAATGAAACATGTAATCTTGACCAACCGTGTGAGATACCAGTATCTCCTCCTTGCATTAGGCAAGTTCCCAGAACTGCTCCCCGCAGGAGTAAAAGAGTGAATGCAGGGAAACACCCAAACCCACATCATGAACCTAGGTCTGCTTTGGAGCCAGAACTAAATTCTTAGATTGGTTTACAGATTATTGAAAGCTTAGGATCTGTGTTTTTCAGAGGAGCTTTAACAGAGGTGAAAAACAGTTGCTTTGTCACCGAGGACGATGACGAATTAGCAAGGAAAAATGTAACCAGTTGAAAAATGGGTACATGTCAAAGATATATTTTGTAAACCATGTTTTGTTTTTGTTTCACTGACTGGTTGTAATTCTTGTTCTTGTCAGCATGTGGTGCTGTTGGTACAGAGAGGTCTAAAGTTACCAGAAGTAGAAAAAAACTCTTGTTCATGTACCGTGGTACTCTAACTGGAAAGACACGGAAGAGAAAGACAGTTTTTTTCATTTTGAGCTGAGACTTGTTGGAGAAGACAGCTCTATGGCCATATGAGTGAAGAATCCAAGTATTAGAGGTGCCACTGCCGTTTGTTATATGCAGCTGTGATGTTTTTGGCTTGTATGCAAAGCTATGTTACTTTGAGTGTTAATAGCGTTATTAGCCCGCCATTTCACTAGAGCTAAGGCTTTTTGTTGATAGAATACAGTTCATTTTTTTTCAAATACTGAACCTCATTCATTTATTTTTTAATAAAGAACCCCTGTTATTTGAAGCTCTGTGTGCTGTATTACTCCCGGCTTCACTACTATCTGCTTTTCTAATTTTTTTTATCTTTACTTGCTTTTATTTTGCTTCTATTCTACTGCAAGCTGATAAAAAAAACTCATTTCTTGTGAGGACTAAATTACTAATTTTTCCCTTCAGGTCAAGGCAACTTTTTATTTTGTTCTATATCATTCAGTAAAACTCTGAGTTAATCCATAAAATATTAGGCTATTATATCGAAAATTCTCTTGGATGAAAGAATAAAATGCAAACAGCTTTCTCTAGAAGTTTATGTATGTGTTAAAAATATGGGTAGATATATTTAACTTTGAGACCAAGTGACATCACAAAATCATCCCTTTCTCCTCTTTAATTATTTGCTCTTATAATTTGGGTTCAGTGGTTTCTCTTAAGCACAGGATTATTAAGTGATGTTTTGCTCAAAAGGCAATCTGTTCTCTTATTAGATTTTTTTACTCCAAACACTGGTTTTATTTATTTATTTAATTTTATTCTTATCTTATATTATTCCTATATCTTATTTTTCACTGTATATATGGGAAGGTTGCAATTATACTGAATTTTTTCTGTCTTATTAAATTTTATTTTGCTTCATTGTACATCTGTAAATGGTTGAACTGCAATAAAAGAATATCCTGCAAGGGATTAATAAAGTAATTTGGATTCTGATTCACAAAAAAAGCATTTAGTGCAGGTAATCAGAGCAGTTTAGATGATTATGGATCATAAAGTGACATGTTGCTCAACAATGTTTTGTATCAGCGTGAAATATGTTTACAAGCCTTTCAATGAATTTATACTTAAGAAATAAATAAGTTCCAAAAAAGTCTATTTACTCAAATAGTTTGTTTTGGTTAAACTTAACAGAGCATACAGGCTGAACACCTTTAACCTTTTCTTCTTGCCTTAAGGGAAATGACTGGCCTTTATTCCCCATAAAAGGTGATTTCTGGAGCTGTTTCTTCCTCTCATTCCCTCCTCATTTCTCCTAATGAACTGTACCACCATAGTGACATCATATATTGTAGCTGACAAAGTTTAGAGGTTATTCAGTGAATGCAATTTTACATTTAAATCAGCTTCATGCTTTAAGATTTTCACTAATTCATCAGATGAATATGCCTTAGATAGTTGATTGCAAGACATTTGATTTTTATTCAAACTCAACCTGTAGTTTTTGTACAACAGGTTGATATACACTCACCGGGCCACTTTATTAGGTACCCCATGCTAGTAACGGGTTGGACCCCCTTTTGCCTTCAGGACTGCCTCAATTCTTCGTGGCATAGATTCAACAAGGTGCTGGAAGCATTCCTCAGGGAGTTTGGTCCATATTGACATGATGGCATTACACAGTTGCCGCAAATTTGTCGGCTGCACATCCATGATGCGAATCTCCCGTTCCACCACATCCCAAAGATGCTCTATTGGATTGATATCTGGTGACTGTGGAGGCCATTTGAGTACAGTAAACTCATTGTCATGTTCAAGAAACCAGTCTGAGATGATTCCAGCTTTATGACATGGCGCATTATCCTGCTGAAAGTAGCCATCAGAAGTTGGGTACATTGTGGTCATAAAGGGATGGACATGGTCAGCAACAATACTCAGGTAGGCTGTGGCGTTGCAACGATGCTCAATTGGTACCAAGGGGCCCAAAGAGTGCCAAGAAAATATTCCCCACACCATGACACCACCACCACCAGCCTGAACCGTTGATACAAGGCAGGATGGATCCATGCTTACATGTTGTAGACGCCAAATTCTGACCCTACCATCCGAATGTTGCAGCAGAAATCGAGACTCATCAGACCAGGCAACATTTTCCAAACTTTATTGTCCAATTTCGATGAGCTTGTGCAAATTGTAGCCTCAGTTTCCTGTTCTTAACTGAAAGGAGTGGCACCCGGTGTGGTCTTCTGCTGCTGTAGCCCATCTGCCTCAAAGTTCGACGTACTGTGCGTTCAGAGATGCTCTTCTGCCCACCTTGGTTGTAACGGGTAGTTATTTGAGTCACTGTTGCCCTTCTATCAGCTCGAACCAGTCTGGCCATTCTCCTCTGACCTCTGGCATCAACAAGGCATTTCCGCCCACAGAACTGCTGCTCACTGGATGTTTTTTTCTTTTTCGGACCATTCTCTGTAAACCCTAGAGATGGTTGTGCGTGAAAATCCCAGTAGATCAGCAGTTTCTGAAATACTCAGACCATCCCTTCTGGCACCAACAATCATGCCACGTTCAAAGTCACTCAAATCACCTTTCTTCCCCATACTGATGCTCGGTTTGAAATGCAGGAGATTGTCTTGAACATGTCTACATGCCTAAATGCACTGAGTTGCCGCCATGTGATCGGCTGCTTAGAAATTAAGTGTAAACGAGCAGTTGGACAGGTGTACCTAATAAAGTGGCCGGTGAGTATATATATATATATATATATATATATATATATATACGTACCTTTTGATAATGCAGCATTGATCCAAAAAACGGGATGGGTTTGAGGCCAGAGATCCCTAATCTTTTGAAAGTCCCATAAGGCCAGTAGGCATACCTGCATAAAGATATGGGTGAAAAGTGATGAGTGGAGTAAAAAAAACTGAACCAATAAATATTAAATGAAAGAGAATAAATAAATAAGTTACAAGACATACCTCTTGAATTGAATTAAGAAATATAAAGAAAAAAATAAATAGATAAATACAGAATAATTAACACTCACACTAGGAGTAACGTGACAAAGGCAATCAGGAGGGTCCATGTCTCAGCAGAGAAGTACAAGTAGTGACCCATGTTTCCTCTTGGTGGAACTACGATTCTCAGTGAAAACAGGTGTCACAAACTGGGCCTTTTATCTTAGCCTGTACAGCCCTGTTACGTAAGCTAAAGAGTGTGAGAGCCAATGAAACCTGGGCGTGTCGAGGGAATATTTGTACAAGAAAGAAGTATTACCTTATATAGTAGTAAGGATTACCTTATATAGTAGTGTCTTTTTCTGCTGTTCTGTGAGCTTAACTAATTATTCTGCAGGTTTAAAGAATGTCTAACTACTTTAAGGTTGAATGATAAAAACAAATTGTATTGTTTTTTCTTTCATATTAAAGGAACTTTAATGTCTCTTTTTCTTAAGATACAATTTATGAGAGAGGTCCATTTAAAATGGCTTTACTCTGTATATGTTGGAAAAAAAGTATAAATAAATTTTGCATTTTGCTTCATTCATTTTAATATCCAGTCATGTTATCAGATTTATGGTTTCTTGTTTATTTCAGAATGAGGACAGAGGGTGAAGGGTTACGTAACACTGGGGGGAGGGAACACATTTCCTGTTCCTCCAGTTGCATTAAAAGAGTTACTGTAGAGCTCAACAGACAATGGACTTTCCATCAACACCAACAAACAGCCATGGGCTTCCCTCCTTTATTCTCCTTCGAAACATGGATTCTTCTCATCTCATTTGTCTTCATACTTGTTTTGTAAGCACTTTCTTGAAAATCAACAGACACTTGCATTTTAAATGGAGCTATTCTTTGAAATAAAATGCATCAGGATGTAGTTATTGCCAGGGGAATAACATATACTTGCTGTACTGCAACCTGTGCAGGTATGGCTACTGGACTTTTGGAGTTTTTGAGAAGTTGGGAATTAAGGGACCCAAACCAGTGATTTACTGGGGGACAGTTGGCAAGTATGACCCGGTAACTACATACCACTAAAGTAGAAATTAAGATTGTTTTTGTGGTTTCTATTGTACAAATAAGTCTCATGAGTGGGAAAAAAATATATATTTTTTCCAGGTGTACTTCTTGGATGACATCGAATGTGCTAAAAAGTATGGAGAAGTATGGGGGTCAGTGCAAAAATTTTATTTTAATAATTGAACCGCGCTGGCATCTGTTTTGATATCTGAGAGTTATTTCATCTACACTGTTTTATGCTGCACCTCCAAGCACTGACATCTGTGTTGTGTGTGATTATTTAGCTCTTATGAGCTCAGGACACCCATTCTGGTTGTGATGGATACAGAAATGCTGAAAACCATCCTGGTCAAAGAATGCTTCACATTCTTTACCAACCTAAGGGTAAGAAAAACACAGACATTGAAAGGAATGCATGGCTAAAAGGTCATTTCTCTTGTCCTTGATAGAAGCAGTTTAGTTTTTTTTTCTTATAATAGTTTTCCAATGTGCCTAAAAACATCCACAAATAAACATTTCCTTTTTCATAAGAACTTCTGTCTGAATGGGGATCTTTATGACACAGTGAATGTTGCAGAAGATGATGAGTGGAGGAGAATTCGTAACCATGTCACTCCTTCCTTCGCCTCTGGACGTATAAAAGAGGTGGGCGTGTATGTAGAGTTTAGGTTTGAAGTTTACTTGCACTTATTAAGGACAATAACTTCATATTCCTTTTTGCTCTTGAACAAGAAAATATATACTTTGTAAAAACAGGGTTCAGTTCACAAGTATACAATCCTTTTGAACTTGTGAACTTGCTTGGGATTCTAGGGGATCGGGACCGTCTGCCCTTCTATCAGCCATTCATGGTGTATCTTATCCATTAGCATCAGGTTTATTTGTGGTGCCTGGCAACCAGGAAGTGTAGTTAGCTTATTTAGCCAGTAGGTGTGAATCCTGTCAGGGCCCAGTGCTGTCCAGCTCTACAAATGTAAGACTCTTCCTTTGATGTTGACTACTGTGATACTAGATCCTGTTCAGGCAGGTTGTTGTGGTCTGCTCTGTGTGTTGCAGCCTTCTCTCATATTCTCTTCCGGCATTGCCCTGTCTGTAACCTTGGTTGGGGATGCTGTTCTCTTGTTTTTCCCCTCCACTAAGATGGTTCAGTGGAGACTATCTGGTTTATTCTCCTGGCTTCTATATCTTTGGTGTACCTCTTAAGGGGTTAGCCAAGGCAGTCTTTGCCTAGTAGTTTCTAAGGCCTCAGGTAAGGACAGATCACTGTATTTTCTTCTGCTCCAATAGCTGGTTAACTTCACTTCATGCTGCGTTGAGTCTCCAGTCATCGTTTCCATTAAGGGGTATTGCTCCTTGTGGCAGTTCATGTTATAGTATACATTGGCTGTTTGTTTCCATTCATGGTCAAAGTAGGGATTGTCCATAGTTCTGTATTTGCATCTTGTAGTAGACTTTAAAGCTGCAGTCTGTAACATTGAGAAGAGAGCAGACTTGGACGCCACTCCCCCACCCTCTCTGCTTCACTCATGGCCCACCTCCAAGCTCCACCCCTCTCACAGCATCTGCGCGGCTACCGCATGCGACCAGAAGCGTCCAAGCAGCGTACGCGGCATGGAGTGTGAACCGGTAAGAGCGATAACACTCACCTCCAAGCAGCTAGATATAAGATGCTGGTTATACCGAAGTTTGCCGTGTAAGCAGTTGTCGGCAGGGGCAGTAAGGGCAGTTTCTCTTTCGCTGGTGGCTGTCGCTCCGCCATGACTTCCACGCGCGTCCTCCTGACAGCAGCAGCCGGGCGGCAGCGGCAGGTTAAGCAGTGAGAGAGGGGGGGGGGGGCGGGATTCAGCGTGTGTGAGCTGTGATTGACACTCCATCAGACGCTCCTCTGGCTGTGATTGGTTGTTTTGACTCTTCCCGAATTATTCTTTCCAGATTGAAATACAGGCAGTAGGCGGTACCAATTGAAGCAGTTTTTTTCACAGGTTACATATCATATGTACTGCTGTCTGGGCATAGGGACAGTTTTAGCCAATATGACAAAAAAGTGATTTTTAAAAACTTACAGACTTCAGCTTTAAGAGGGTACTTCATGCGGTCCTGCAAATTAGTTACAGGGGACTCCGAGTTTCTAGTTTAGCCTAGTTTAACTGCTCTGACACTCAACATACCAGCCATTCTTGGGACTTGGTACCCAGTCTTGTGTCGGGATGATGATGCTATCTCTGCCCAGAACCCACAGTTGGCTCCCCCTAGCTGTAGCATTTGTATTTCCCTAGCATATAATATAAGTAGCAGTTTAATGGAGTTTTTGCTTTAAAACAAATGTTTTACTGATCACTCAGTTAAGGTTATACAGACGCGGAGACATGCAATGGTAAATTTTTATTAAACTTTTTCTGTGGAATAACAATGTAAACTGCACATAGTGAAGGTATAAAATCTGCCAAACTGATGTATTCCTTTGGCTGGTAGATCAGGAGCGAGGCACCAGCTTCAGTTGGATGGGTCTTTTCGGTGCAAGCAAACCCTGGACATCCATCTCAAAAGGGATCTGGCAGATAATTCAATGTTTAGGAGAAAAAACAGTAAAGATTGCACAGAAAAACATGGCGTCTGTTAATTAATTTTAAAAATTCATCAAAAAACCACAACACCTATTGAGAGATGCCTCATGGCTTTTAAACTATATTGCTTCTCACAGCATGTGAAACAGAATGATATCAGCATAAATTACTGACAAAAGCTCCGTGATAGGCAGAGTTTATAAACTTTGGGTGGACAAAGATAAAAGTCATAATGTTACGTAACACCAAAACAAGGTACTGTTTCGATTACCAATAAAGGAAATTTCAGGTTACTGTAGTCTCACCTCAGTCTCTTTACAAACAGAGAAGCTGTACTGCTGGAGAATCTCTACCACGGCCAATTTGATCATCACCAGAGCAAATCTCATGCCAATGCAGTTCCTTGGCCCAGACCCAAAAGGCATGTATGTGTATGGATCGATTTTGTCCTTGTTTTTCTTGCTAAATCTAAACAGACAAACACAGAAAATATATATACAAACACACATCTACATATGCATTATATATATAATGTGCATTCTGTCTGTACCTCTCAGGCTTAAATTTCTCAGGTTCAGGCCACATCTCAGGATCCCTGTGCAGAGGCCATGTGGGGATCATGACAACCATGTCTTTTGGAATCACAAGGCCATTTATCTCCACAGATGCCTTGGCCACACGTTCCAGACGTGGAGCAATAGGAAACAGTCGCAGAGACTCATTGATGACGCTGTCCAGGTACTCCATCTCCATCAAGGGCTGATACTGAACAGGAGCCTACAAAAACACAAGCATGCATGTTTAACACACAGTGTTGCAGCACACAGGCCAGTTAAAATAACATTGATATCTTTAGAAGGTTGCGATTTTTAATAAAAATGAATTTTACTGTTTACATTTCCTTTTAATATATTTATATATTTTTTTGTAACTGTTTACATTTCCTTTTCCTTTTAATATATTTATATATTTTTATTTTTATTTCACGGTAGCTGTTATGGAAGTCCCAAATCTCATTGTATCTGTTGCAGAATATAATGACAATAAAGGCTTTTTGACTTGACTTTGACTAAAAAACTGTAATTAATATTATATACATCTGAGTTAATTTCAGTTGATTCAGCTTTGCTGAACCAATACTCTTGACATTACTGCAAAGATGTTCTAATGTGTTTCAGAGTGATGATGTTGCTGGCTAGCCTTGTGAGACCATCCTGATCTCGCGAGCTTTCAAGGTTTCACTCACAGATCAGTCTGGAGACTCTCCGTTAAAGAAAATTTGGAGCCGTTCACCAAACGAACATCCAATCAGCGTTGGCTTTGAGGCGGGTTGAGGTGTGACGCAACGAGAAGCGCGACAGTTCAGTCTAAAGAACATGGTGGCTTCAGCCGATGAAACTAGCGTTAGCGTGGCTACCGAGCAAGTTTTATCGGAATTACACTGTATTTCTTCACTGAAAGAAGAGCAAAACACTGCTCTGGAGGCTTTTCTCAGAGGAAAAGATGTTTTTGCTCTTCTCTCGACTGGTTTCGGCAAGAGTAGCCTTGTTTGTGGTTGTGTTTTCGTCATCGCTCTGTTAGTACGTCATATGCTTCGTTGATCTGATTGGTTTATTTGGCCCAATTATCACCAACTTAGGCCAATCAGCTATGGATTGGATGGATATGCAGAGCAAATCCATCTGGCGGAGTCAGGTTAGTTGCTGGCTACTCAAGCACAGGAATGCAATTGTTATTAAAGCAGGTGTTAGTACTTCAACAACAAAATCACAAGTAAAGTAATGCAGAAAAATCACCAGCAGAATGAAGATTGAAGATTTGGGGGAAATGACCTTGCTGGATTTCTCCACTCTGCCTTAAGACTCAATAGGACTTAATATGTAATCTAGATGTAATACCAAAAAAATAATACTTCATCTTTGAATACTTTATTTTTTCTCTTTATACTGTTATGGCTAACCTTATTCTCCTCACTGAAGTCTTTTGAAACATAAACTTCGATTTTTAGCTAAGCCAAATAACCACATTCCAATCAGTGATTTACAGGTTTCACAGCTTTTTCAAAAACATATGAAAAAAATCAACAACTAGGCCTCAGTTTTTGTGGATGACAATTATTTCGCCCTTCATTTAAGATACTTTTTTAATACAAAGCTAGTGAAGAAGTTCCAGATTGCAGATTTGACCCCCTTAATAATAGGGTTCTGCAAGAAAGTGTGAAACTGACCCAGCATCTGCAAGTATTATGAAAGCTGAGACCTGAGACCTCCTAGTGGAATATTTTGGTGTTGCATTGCATAGAAAATTGGACCAATTTAAAGTATTAACCCCAAAGGAAACCTTAACACTGTCATTTCTGTGAAAATCTGAAATCATTTCTGTTAAACAGGATCTTCCTCCACTGGAGACAAATCAGAGGTAAAGTGGACTTCAGAAAACGTTTTCGGTTTCTGAAAAAGGTTATTGAGAAAGAAATGCACCTTAAAAACATTAACTGTGTTCTTGTAGTTCAATGTTCAAGTATGGAGAACTTAAAAGCCTGGAAAAATGTCGAACCTCATGTTTCTTTCCTTTAAGGATTAAAAAAACTTAACCAAATTGAAGTTTGTGACCTAAATGTCTTTTATCTTTGCTGATTATTCTAATTTTTTTAATTCTGTACCTTGTTGGGGAAGGTGGCATCAATCTCCTCCTGAAGCGTTTTCATCACCTCTGGGTTTGTAGCCAGATTGTAAGCCAGGAAGGTGAGAGAGCTACTGCTTGTTTCAAAACCAGCAAAAATGAATATCATGGATTGAGATAGAATCTCATGGTCATTTAAACCTGTAGAAAACAACAGAGTTAAATGGTTCACAAAAGCAAGTTGTGTAGCATGTGTGAATTTACTTGTGTTGAAGTGTGCCTCACTTTTTTCCTGTTGCACCTCACTGTTCTTTTGGGAATCAATCATCAGTTGTAGAAAATCTATCCGACTCTAGAAGTAAACCAGGGAAGGTCAGGTCACGTTCTAAAGCCTGCTAGGACAAAGATATCCTAATACTGGAAAAGAACGTTGTCCTTGACTCTACCTTGTCTTTGCTGCCTTCACGGTTAGCTTTGATCTTTCTCAGAGAAGCATAGAAGAAGTCGGTCACAGATGCAGGAAAAAAAGAAAATTCAAACTTTTCAAGTACGGGACCGAGAAAGGGGAAAAATGCTGAAATTAAAGAAACAAAAACATCTTTTAGTAGTGGAATAGGAAGGTCAGGAACTATTTTGGCTGTTTTAGTTTGGAATTTGTGAAAAATGAATTCTGAATAACAAATAAAAGCATGACATAATTAGATAAAAGTACAGCAAACACTATTTTTAGATGAAATTAAAAAACAACATTTTTAAGTGTCCTTTTCATTTTTATTTTTTTACGATACGAGAGTTCTGTTTTTTTTATTCTATTCAGTCCACTTATGATTACAAAATATTTGCTAAAGCCTAAGCTGAGGCTAACTTTATGTGCTCTCAGTTGCTTTTATTGTATGCAACCTTTTCATACCACTGTAAGGCCAAGAGATAAAAGGCTATATTACCAGGGAGACACTATCACAGCTGCTGCTATGTCTGATTTATTTGTGTTCAAACAAGGAAAACATTATTGTTTTAGCCTTATCCTTTTTTTGAAAAACCATTAAGAAAAAAATTATATTCTTTCAGAAAACCTATGAGACACCTCAGGTATTATTTATCAACATCTTTACTATAACTGCAGCAAATAAAAGCTGAATTGGTTGAAGCATCTCTGACCAATTTTAGTTTTAATGGGGCATAATGCCAGGCAGAGCTAACAATTTGTCACAATGCTAAAACTGTGACTTAGTGCTTTAGCCTTATAAAAGGAAATCTGGTAGGATAAAAGTTTCCATTATAGCACTTTGATAATGAGCCTTACAGACTTTAATCCAAGTCAACTACTGTGTAGTCTTTCCTTTGCTCTCTGCTGTGCAGATATATATTTTTTATATCTAAAGGAAACATAATCCAGGATATTACAACTTTTTTATTCTCTTTTTGTTCTATATATACTCTTTTTATATTGTCTGTTGTATTTTTTATCCTTAATGACATTTTGCTTTAACTCTGCCCTTGTGCTCTCTATAAGCTACTGGAACCAGAATTTCCCTAAAGGAGTAATACCAAGGGATAAATGAAGTTGGGTCTAAGTCTGAGTCTACAGTGAGGCACAAACACTATATAGATATTCTTAGGAGGTTGTTATTCTCCAGTCTTATGAAAGTTTTTCTTCAGTCTTTTGGTACTCTTCAATTGAATTACAATATTTCGAAATATAACTTCACAAATGTCAAACATTGTTGTAAGACTCAAAGGAGAACTTTACCGACTGCGAGGAAGAGGGGGTTTAAAAAGTCAAACTTCAACATCTTCTTGATATTTGTCACAAACGGGTCGGCTGGGTTGTTCAGGGAGTCGATGTCTACACTGAAGGCCGTGCTGGTTACCACATCCATACTGTACGATCCAAAGAATCTAAATTCAAACACGAATATGTTTAAAATAAGCTCACCAGCTTTGATAGGAGTGAAATTAGGCATCATTTCTTGGTGATTTAAAGTCCTACTCCTTTAGCTCTAATGGTTCGTCCTTGTCTGCCTTCTTTTTCATGCTGCGGACCAGGTTAGCAGAATGATTCTTCATGATTTCAAACATCTGAAACACAAATAGACATGAAAAAAGAAATCATTTGAAGTCCATGCAAAAGAAATCATATGTTTTTGCGAAAAAATAAATGCTGCACTGTTCTTTAATGGCATAAAGTAAATGTGCGTATGCAACAAAAGATTAATTTATTTAAAAGCTTTTTGTCGATCCTTACAGACAAGGATGTGGTTGGTAGAATCAATGATGGTAAAGTTAAAAGATGTCTCTTAACATCTAGATCACCTGTAATCTAACTGTAGCATCATTACCAAGATGGCGGCATAGGTGTTTTCACGTCTGTCTGCGTTACCTGTGTCTGTGTTTTTAATGAATTAATTGGGCTATATTTCTTAGATTTTTTTGGATCACGTTTTCCTCAGAGCACTTCTTTAAGTGGCATCACAAAATCGTAACACTATGGCGATGAGTAGCCATAAACAACTATGCAAGCCCAGGCCTAGGCCTACTCAGTCACGTAGGTCTGGCTGCACTTTCAGACTCCCAGTTTATCTATCATTTGTGTTTGCGCTGTACTCACCGTTCATGGGCGTCGTGGGAGCTGCGAATGATGATGGATTTTATAATTCCTCTTGGCGGATTGTACTATCGAATGCTGGAACTGGGTTGTGTACTGACACGAGCGGATTTGCACCCCTAACTGGATGTGTTGCTGAGCCCCTTTGCCCGACCGAACCTGTCAGCTGGCCCGAAATTGGAGAATCTCGGTTCATCTGTGGCAGGCGCGGCAGGGGAGCCGCCAGCAGCGCAACAAGATCAGCGCTTTGGATTACCATTCTTCTGTGTTTGTCAGGTAACATACATCCAAACCCAGGACCACTAGTGACTGAACTGTCGAGTCCCGATGTTTTGAAAAACAGCAGTGGCTTGCGTTTCATCCATGTCAATGTGCGCAGCCTTATAAATAAAATCGACGCTATTCGCATATGGGCTAAAACGACGGACAGTGATATACTCGTTTTATCTGAGACCTGGCTCAAACCTGCGATTACGAACAATATGGTTTACATCGAAGGGTACAATATCTATAGGACGGACCGTGGGAAAAAAGGAGGAGGGGTGGCCATATATGTAAAGGCCTCCTTGGACTGCTGCGAGGCAATTAGTAAACCAACGTTTTTCGAACTCTGTGCCATTAAACTCAATCTCCCCAATGGCGCTTCCTTGACAGTAGTAGGTTGCTACAGGCCACCATCGGCAGTGGCTGGAGCATCTGCGCTGCTGTCTGACTTCCTGGGAAAGCTGTCAAGCGAGTACATCGTCTTGGGGGATTTAAACTGGGACTATAGCCCCATTTACACTACCCTTGAAAAACCGATCCAGGCCGAGACCGGTCCGAGCTTGGATCGGTAACCAGGCCAAGCTCAGTTTTGACGACCGTTCACACGTCACACTTATCTCGGTTATCTCGACGCCTCGACTCCTCGCCTCCTAGTGACGATGTGCGGTATTACTGCTAGGATTGAAGGAGGGACTCAAGCAGCTGGTGGCGGTAATGCACCAAACGCTGTTTGTCAAACGCCGTAAAACCCAAGAAGAAGAAGACGAAGGAGGAGGGAATCAAGCAAATCAAAATGGCGGCGCCCGTCACATTCAGAAAGTTATGCTTTATTATTATTGCTGTACTTCCGTGTTTGCGGTGGGTCAGGCGAAGACGGCAACCTTGCGCGGATGTACTTGAGAAAGTCGGTACTTGTGAATCGGCATGTTCAGCCAGTCGGCGATGACGCTTTCTGCTCATGCGCTCTTGTTATCAGAGAACCGAGCCAGGAAAAAACCGAGCCGAACCCACCTCGGGAACTGGTCTGCAGTTAGCGCGGTCCGGTTATGTTTATCTCGGTTCAGTTCAGGTTGTTTCCGTTCACACACGACAAGTTATCTCAGTTACTGAGCTCGGACCGGTCTCGGCTCAGTTTTTTAAGGGTAGTGTAAACGGGGCTTATCTCTCGTCGTCCTCTGCATTAAGAGACTTGTGTGATGCACTGCAGCTGACTCAGCTGATCAAGTCACCTACACGCCTTAATATTAAATGTATGGACAAATCTACGCTGCTTGACGTTATCCTGACCAATGCTCCACACAAATTTTCTGCGGCTGGTGTTTTTTATAATGACGTCAGTGATCACTGCATGGTTGCGTGCGTCAGGGACTGTAAAATGGTTAAGACCAAGTCACGGTTTGTTTTTAAACTACATCTTAAGCGTTTTAATGAGCAGGCATTTCTTCATGATATTTTCCACAGTGACTTAAATGCAGTTTGTTTTATGGATGATGTTGAAATGGCCTGGGATTATTTTAAGAAAACTTTTTTAGCCATCATTGATAAACACGCCCCTTTTAGAAGATTTAGTGAGGGGCAGGGATAACCCCTGGTTTAATGATTGTATTGCTACTGCAATTAGAGAACGTGATGAAGCATGGGTAAAAGCAAAAAAATATAATAGTGATGCAAGCTGGTTGAACTACAGGGTATTAAGAAATAAATGCACAAGACTAATAAGAAGTACAAAAAATGAGCATTACCTTAATTTAATAAAAGAAAATCTCAATGACCCTAAGAAATTTTGGAAAGCAATAAAATCATCATCAGGCGATGTGCCACCTCCCACTATCCCTGAATATATTGTAACTAGTCAGGGAGAAATTAGGGATAAACAACATATGGTAGACACTTTTAACATGCACTTCATCAATGCTGGAATTGCTACTCAGTCAACTCGTCCGGCAAATGTTAGCAGAGGTAGGCCTACAATTACTGTTCCAGATCCAAATATGAGTCCAAACAGTTTTAATTTCAGCTGTATTTCTGCTTATGAAGTTCAGAAGGCTTTGCAAGGACTAGACTGTAAAAAGTCTGCTGGGCCTGACCAGATTGAACCGTATTTTCTTAGGACTGCTGCTAACTTGATTGCTGAGCCTATTGCCTCAATTTTTAATCTTAGTTTATGTAGTGGTACCATACCTACATCTTGGAAGTCTGCTTTTGTCCTCCCACTTTTGAAAAGTGGAGACCCTTCCTTATTGGACAATTATCGCCCAATCTCTAGATTGTCTGTGCTGGCCAAACTGTTTGAATCTCTTATAAACGAGCAACTCAAACTTTTTTTAACTGAGAACTCAATTTTAAACCCATTGCAGTCTGGCTTTCGACAAGGTCATAGTACAGTCACAGCTGTTACCACAGTCACAAATGACATTTTGAATGCTTTAGATAATAAGAAGTCTTGTGCTGCAATATTCATTGATCTTTCTAAAGCGTTTGATACAGTGGACCATGATCTTCTTTTGAAGCGATTACAAAGAATAGGCTTTAGTGATACTGTACTACGGTGGTTTTCAAATTACCTTAATGATAGAACGCAGTGTATTGTAATTGATAACTATACCTCAACATCATTAGAAGTTACAATGGGGGTCCCACAAGGGTCAGTTTTGGGTCCAATTTTATTTTCTCTTTATATACAGGTGCTGGTCATAAAATTAGAATATCATGAAAAAGTAGATTGATTTCAGTAATTCCATTTAAAAAGTGAAACTTGTATATTATATTCATACATTACATACAAACTCATATATTTCAGATGTTTATTTTGTTTAATTTTGATGATTACAAATGACAACAAATGAAAATCTCAAATTCATCATATCAGAAAATTAGAATATTACTGAAGACCAATAAAAACAAAGGATTTATAGAAATGTTGGCCAACTGAAAAGTATGAACATGAAAAGTATGAGCATGTACAGCACTCAGTATTTAGTTGGGCCTCCTTTGGCCTGTATTACTGCAGCAATGCGGCGTGGCATGGAGTCGATCAGTCTGTGGCACTGCTCAGGTGTTATGATAGCCCAGGTTGCTCTAATAGTGGCTTTTAGCTCTTCTGAATTGTTGGGTCTGGTGTATTGCATCTTCTTCTTCACAATACCCCATAGATTTTCTATGGGGTTAAGGTCAGGAGAGTTTGCTGGCCAATTAAGAACAGGGATACCATGGTCCTTCAACCAGGTACTGGTAGCTTTGGCACTGTGTGCAGGTGCCAAGTCCTGTTGGAAAATGAAATCTGCATCTCCAAAAAGTTGGTCAGCTGCAGGAAGCATGAAGTGCTCTAAAACTTCCTGGTATGTGGCTGCGTTGACCCTGGACCTCAGAAAACACAATGGACCAACACCAGCAGATGACATGGCACCCCAAACCATCACTGACTGTGGAAACTTTACACTGGACTTCAAGCAACGTGGATGAAGTGCCTCTCTTCTTTTCCTCCAGACTCTGGGACCTTGATTTCCAAAGGAAATGCAAAATTTACTTTCATCAGAGAACATGACTTTGGACCACTCACCAGCAGTCCAGTCCTGTTTCTCTTTAGCCCAGGCAAGACGCTTCTGACGCTGTCTGTGGTTCAAGAGTGGCTTGACACAAGGAATGCGACAGCAGAAACCCATGTCTTTCATACGTCTGTGTGTGGTGGTTCTTGAAGCACTCACTCCAGCTGCAGTCCACTCTTTGTGAATCTCCCCCACATTTTTGAATGGGTTTTGTTTCACAATCCTCTCCAGGGTGCGGTTATCTCTCTTGCTTGTACACTTTTTTCGACCACATCTTTTCCTTCCCTTCGCCTCTCTATTAATGTGCTTGGACACTGAGCTCTGTGAACAGCCAGCCTCTTTAGCGATGACCTTTTGTGTCTTGCCCTCCTTGTGCAAGGTGTCGATGGTCGTCTTTTGGACAACTGTCAAGTCAGCAGTCTTCCCCATGATTGTGTAGCCTATAGAACTAGACTGAAAGACCATTTAAAGGCTTTTGCAGGTGGTTTGAGTTAATTAGCTGATTAGAGTGTGGCACCAGGGGCCATCAATTTTGAACCTTTTCACAATATTCTAATTTTCTGATATGATGAATTTGAGATTTTCATTTGTTGTCATTTGTAATCATCAAAATTAAACAAAATAAACATCTGAAATATATGAGTTTGTATGTAATGTATGAATATAATATACAAGTTTCACTTTTTAAATGGAATTACTGAAATCAATCTACTTTTTCATGATATTCTAATTTTATGACCAGCACCTGTAAATGACTTGGGTAAGGACCTAAAGACAGCAAAAGTGCATCTTTATGCAGATGACACTATTTTGTACACCACAGCTTCATCAGTGAATGCTGCATTTGCACAATTGCAGTCTGCTTTTAATCATGTACAAACATTTCTTATTGAATTAAAGTTGGTACTGAATGCTAAAAAAACTAAAACAATGACATTCACACATTCACGATCCTCACCTAACATTAGTGTTTCAACACAAGATGGCACTAAAATAGAAGGAGTATCATCTTACAAGTATTTAGGCATCTGGTTGGATGATAAGATGTCCTTTGGTGTCCATATTGAGAGCCTCTGTAAGAAACTTAGACCAAAGTTGGGTTTTTTCTTTAGAATGAGGAAGTGCTTTCCCTATCTTGCGAGGAAAAGGCTAGTTCAGAGCACATTCCTGTCAGTGCTTGATTATGGGGATACACTGTATATTCACTCCAGTTTATTCTTACTTAAAAAACTGGATGTACTGTACCACTCTGCCTTACGTTTTATCACAGGTGCATCAGCTAGGACTCACCACTGCACTCTCTATGAAACTGTACAGTGGTCTTCTCTTTACATGAGGAGAAAAATTCATGTACTGACTTTTATTGCCAAAGCCCTTATGGGTAAACTACCTTTATACATTTGTAATTTACTTTCCATTCGAGATAGTACTTACAGGACTAGGTCATCAGAAAAAATACTTTTACATACTCCATTTACAAGAACTGAACTAGGAAAAACAGCATTTTCATCATTTGCACCTAAAGCATGGAATGAACTTCAAGCCACTTTAAATCTTGAAGTACTTCCATCCATAAATTCTTTTAAAGACCTGTTAAAATCATCATTCACTGACAGATGCAACTGTTTTTGATTGGATGCCTTGTTTTCTATTTGCTTTTTGGTTGTATGTGTATGCCCAATCTTGTTGTGTTGTGTTTACTTTTGCCTAGATGATATGTAGCTGTGGTTGTCTTGTCTCCTGTGGTTTTATGTTAATGTAACTTTTTAAGCCGCCTTCTTGGCCAGGACTCCCTGGAAGAAGAGTTACTTTAACTCAATGGGACTTTCCTGGTTAAATAAAGGTTAAATAAAAAAAAATAAATAAAAATAAAAAAATAAAATCTTTTTAGGGCTCACCTCCTTCAGTCTCCCAGAAGTGAAAGAAGGAGAGAGGACACCTCGGATCCTTTTCCATTGCTCATCCTCAGCGATGGACACGGCGTCATACAAGGGCCCATTCAGACGGAAATTCTTTAAAGGGGATAAAACAGCAGCTGATGAGAGGCAACATTAAACATGAATTACTGAGACTTTATAAAAGTTGTAGAGCAATGACTGCATACTCTGCGATTGGTGAAGAGAGAAAGGCATTCCTTAACCAGAACAGCCTTTATGATTTCAGGATCTGCAACACACAAGACAGGCTGGCGGCCGTCATAAATGCTAAAAGATAAAAATGAAGCAAACAATTTTAACTATAAATTTGTATTTTTATTGTTTCTGTCTTAAAGACTGCTTAGCATTTGACTAGATTATAAAGACTGCTTTACAAAAGTAACTACAACCTGAATACTCACCCCCATATTTTCCCGTATTTCTGATAGCATTCTTGATCAAAGAGGAAGAATCCCTGGTTACAAAAATAAAATATACACTTTAATATACTTTTAAAAAACATTTTATAAATTTTTCACCAAACTGAATGAATAAATCATTAGACCACTCTCAAAATAGTTGTTTATACTTAGCAATATTACATTATGGTGTCTAATATAATTTACAATTTCATTTGCAGTCAAAACAGCACAATAAAAAAGTATACTTCTACCTACTAGACTAATCTACATTAGAATACTGGAACTTAAAATGTAGTGCATCAAACCGGCCCTATTTACATTTTTCACAGAACCTACAGATTGTAAATTTAATACATATACAAAAAATGTATTAACCAGAGAAAATAACTGCATAACAAATTACATTCCATCTGATTTGTACTTTTAAATGTGCATTAATGACCATATAAACCATAAATAGACTTAGGTGTTCTAGCCTACTCTGTGCAACCAGAACTAGAACCAAACATGGAGAAACAGAATTTAGTTCCTATGCTCCACTGATCTGGAACAAACTCCCAGAAGACTGTAGAAGTGCTGAAAGCCTGAATCCTTTTAAGTCAAAGTCAAAAACTCATTGGTTTAGAACAGTTAAACTATTAACTGAGGTATAATTAGTTTAAAGCTGTAATCGAACTGTTTTGTTTGCTTTACTATCTTCTCTTATCATTTTTTATATCTTTACTAAATTTTATTTTGCCTCTATTTTACTGCAAACTCATAAAAAAAACATTTCTTGTGAGGACTAAATTACTACTTTTTACCAAATTTCCTTCAGTTCATCATGGCAACTTACAACAATGAAACTCTGAGTAAAATATTAGGCTGTTATATCGAGAAATTCTCTTGGATGAAAGAATAAAATGCAAACAGCTTTCTCTAGAAGTTTATGTATGTGTTAAACATATGGGTAGATATATTTAACTTTGTGACCAAGTCACGTCACAAAATCATCCCTTTCGCCTCTTTAATTATTTGCTCTTATAATTTGGGTTCAGTGGTTTCTCTTAAGCACAGGATTAATAAATGATGTTTTGCTCAAAAGGCAATCTGTTCTCTTATTAGATATTTTTACTCCAAACACTAGTTTTATTTATTTATGTAATTTTATTCTTATCTTATATTATTCCTATATCTTATTTTTTTACTGTATATATGGGAGGGTGTAATTATACTGAATTTATTCTGTTTTATTATATTATATTTTGCTTTATTGTACTTCTGTAAATGGTTGAACTGCAATAAAAGAATATCCTGCAAGGGATTAATAAAGTAATCCGGATTCTGATTCATAAAAAAAGCAATTAGTGCAGGTAATCAGAGCAGTTTAGATGATTATGGATCATAAAGTGACATGTTGCTCAACAATGTTTTGCATCAGCGTGAAATATGTTTACAAGACTTTCTATGAATGTATACTTAAGAAATAAATACCGGTAAGTTCCAAAAAAGTCTATTTACTCAAATAGTTTGTTTTGGTTAAACTTAACAGAGCATACAGGCTGAACACCTTTAACCTGTTCTTCTTGCCTTAAGGGAAATGACTGGCCTTTATTCCCCATAAAAGGTGATTTCTGGAGCTGTTTCTTCCTCTCATTCCCTCCTCCTTTCTCCTAATGAACTGTACCACCATAGTGACATCATATATTGTAGCTGACAAAGTTTAAAGGTTATTCAGTGAATGCAATTTTACATTTAAATCAGCTTCATGCTTTTAAGATTTTCACTAATTCATCAGATGAATACACTTTAGATAGTCGATTGTAAGACATTTGATATCTTTATTCAAACTCAACCTGTAGTTTTTGTACAACAGGTTGAGCTTTAAAAGTAATATATATATATATATATATATATATATATATATATATATATATATATATATATATATATATATATATATACGTACCCTTCGATAATGCAGCATTGTTCCAAAAAACGGGATGGGTTTGGGGCCAGAGATCCCTAATCTTTTGAAAGCCCCATAAGGCCAGTAGGCATACCTGCATAAAGACAAGACGAGTAAAAAAAACAAAACCAATAAATATTGAATAAAAGAGAATAAATAAATAAGTTACAAGACATACCTCTTGAATTGAATTAAGAAATATAAAGAAAAAAATAAATAGATAAATACAGAATAATTAACACTCACACTAGGAGCAATGTGACAAAGGCAATCAGCAGGGTCCATGTCTCAGCAGAGAAGTACAAGTAGTGACCCATGTTTCCTCTTGGTGGAACTACGATTCTCAGTGAAAACAGGTGTCACAAACTGGGCCTTTTATCTCAGCCTGTACTGCCCTGTTACGTAAGCCAAAGAGTGTGAGAGCCAATGAAACCTGAGCGTGTCGAGGGAATATTTGTACAAGAAAGAAAGATTAGCTTATATGATAGTGTCTTTTTCCAAATATGTTTTCTGCTGTTCTGTGAGCTTAACTAATTATTCTGCAGGTTTAAAGAATGCATAACTACTTTAAGGTTGAATGATAAAAAACAAAATGTATTGTTTTTTTCTTTCATATTAAAGGAACTTTAATGTCTATTTTTCTTAAGATACAACTTATTAGAGTGGACCATTTAAAACAGCTTTACTGTGTATATGTTGGAAAAAAGTATAAATAAATTTTGCATTTTGCTTCATTCATTTCAATATTAGTTTTTTAGTTTTCTTTGTCTTGCACTGTTTTAGACATGTCCAGTCATGTTATCAGATTTATGGTTTCTTGTTTATTTCAGAATGAGGACAGAGGGTGAAGGGTTACGTAACACTGGGGGGAGGGAACACATTTCCTGTTCCTGCTCCAGTTGCATTAAAAGAGTTAGAGCCTAACGGACATTGGACTTTCCATCAACACCAACAAACAGCCATGGGCTTCCCTCCTTTATTCTCTTTCGAAACATGGATTCTTCTCATCTCATTTGTCTTCATACTTGTTTTGTAAGCACTTTCTTGAAAATCAACAAAGTCACTTGCATTTTAAATGGAGCTATTCTTTGAAATAAAATGCATCAGGATGTAGTTATTGCCAGGGGAATAACATATACTTGCTGTACTGCAACCTGTGCAGGTATGGCTACTGGACATTTGGAGTTTTTGAGAAGTTGGGAATTAAGGGACCCAAACCAGTGATTTACTGGGGGACAGTTGGCAAGTATGACCCGGTAACTACATACCACTACAGTAGAAATGAATATTGTTTTTGTGGTTTCTATTGTACAAATAAGTCTCATGAGTGGGAAAAAAATATATATATTTTTCCAGGTGTACTTCTTGGATGACATCGAATGTGCTAAAAAGTATGGAAAAGTATGGGGGTCAGTGCAAAAATTTTATTTTAATAATTGAACCGCAGCGGCATCTGTTTTAATATCTGAGAGTTATTTCATCTCCACTGTTTTATGCTGCACCTCCAAGCACTGACATCTGTGTTGTGTGTGATTATTTAGCTCTTATGAGCTCAGGACACCCATTCTGGTTGTGATGGATCAAGAAATGCTGAAAACCATCCTGGTCAAAGAATGTTTCACATTCTTTACCAACCGAAGGGTAAGAAAAACACAGACATTGAAAGGAATGCATGGCTAAAAGGTAATTCCTCTTGTCCTTGATAGAAGCAGTTTAGTTTTTTTTTTTTTTCTTATAATAGTTTTCCAATTTGCCTAAAAACATCCACAAATAAACATTTCCTTTTTCATAAGAACTTCCGTCTGAATGGGGATCTTTATGACGCAGTGAATGTTGCAGAAGATGATGAGTGGAGGAGAATTCGGAACCATGTCACTCCTTCCTTCGCCTCTGGACGTATAAAAGAGGTGGGCGTGTATGTAGAGTTTAGGTTTGAAGTTTACTTGCACTTATTAAGGACAATAACTTCATATTTCTTTTTGCTCTTGAACAAGAAAATATATACTTTCTAAAAACAGGGTTTAGTTCGCAAGTATACAATCCTTTTGAACTTGTGAACCAGCATATTTCCAGAATATACACTCAGTCTAATCTGCCTATCCACTGTTAAGTCAGGTATACTGTATCAAATAGCCTCATGGCAGCATGGAGCGAAAGAAGTGCAGATTATTTTGCCAGGGAGCAACAACTGCAGAGTCCCAGGTGGCTATTGATATATATATATAAATGTGTGTGCATGCTGAGAGATTCTTTTTAGAATGAAAAAAATGTTTTTACTTATATTTTATTTATTTTACTCAATTACTAAACTATCATTACACATATCTATCAAATATTTCTCTTATATGGGAAAAAGACAGCTTCACGGCAGAACAGTATGTTTCCTTGCAGCATGAAGGTCCTAGGTTTGATTCCTATCCTAGGTTCTTTCTGGAGGGAATTTACATCTTCTACTCATGCATGCGTAGGTACTTTGTCTTCCTCACATAGTTCAAAAACATGACTGCTACAGTAGGGGGGTTGAGGTGTGAATAAGTGTGTGCATGGTGCCTTCTGATAGACCGGCTACCTGTCCAGGTTGTAACCCCGCTATGACCCCAATGGATAATAGAATAGAATAGAATACTGTAAAGTGTTTTAACAATATAAATACTAATTCTAATTAGCAACACTGTACCAAGTATTCTGCATAGTGGCGGTATATCGTCTTGCTAGGGGTCAGTTTCTAACCCAGTGGTCCTGTTATACTGAGAGAAATACTTAAAGGTAATGTGGAGGATCTTTGTGACATTTTGAAAAGACCCACCCTCTCCACTTAAAAAAAAAAAATGCATATGCACAACCCTGTACCCACTCCCGAGAGGGAACACCTATTAAAAGTGCGCAAAACCATGTACGAGCCCATTTCTCCTCGTGCACGCTCTGTTTAAAAGCTGCCACCAGTAGGTGAAAATGGGGACGAGCATGTAGGACAGCCTTACGTAAACATATCACCAGAATCATTGACAACGCGAAGGACCACTTATTTTGATTAAACCCAGGGAAAAGAACTTTCTCCACTACACTTTTAAACTTCTAAAATAAATACCTAGCATGTAAAAATAGAATATAAACACAATTAGGTGTACAAAAAAATAAATAAATAAATCATAGGTTTGGGGACAGATAAAAACATGGTAACCATAAGCTTCTCAAATACCCTGAACCTAAACCCTGTTAAAAATTGTACCAATATTGAATCTACAAACTCCTGGACAAAATGCATAGATGTTTGTCGTGTATGAACAAATTACAAGACAAAAAACTGAAAGATTTTCTCCACACCTTTAACTGAAAACAGTAAAAATGTGTTGTACATATTAGCCTTTTCTGTATCTTCATGACTGACATTAAAACAGATACATTTGGGGCTGCAGGTGTATATATACGATCCCAACTCATTCCCTCCATGATTGAATTAGACAACAATTTTAAAAATTTTACCCAGAAAACCTTTTTTCTGATCATTTTTTTTATATATTTTCAGTGCATCATATACCTTATATGAAGATGATGATTATGAACCAAGACCGCAAACTGTTGATAAAGGAATATCTTTAACTGCTGGAGTAATTTCCTTTCTCTTCTTCTGCCTTAAGATGTTCAACATAATGCAACATCATTCCAACAAACTGATCCTGAGCTTGCAATCTAAGGTGGACAATGATGAAGTTATTACCATTAAGGAGTGAGTAACCCTGGGGAAATCACAGAAATGACACAAGATGAAAAACATCATATTAGAAAAAAAACCCATGTGCACTTTGAAAAGCTTTTATCATCAAACAGATTATGCCTTAACAAAAAACAGTTAGCTTTTTCTGTTTGGCTTCTTTGTACTTTCATGAAAAACCATGAAAGTTAAATGTTAACAGGAATCCTATTTTGAAATCTATTTGAATAAGTATATTTGTTTCTACTCAAGTTAATGTCAGTGGTAATCTAAAATCAGATGGAATTGGACTATTAAGGCTGCCAATTTAGTCTAAAAATACACATGGGAATTAGCAGTGGATGCTTCACATACATAGTTTTTTGTTCTAAATGTACACTGGGTGAAATAAGTGGAAATTAACAATCTTTAATACTCTTAAAATTAAAACAATAAAAAAATATTGAAACTATTGATATGATTTGAATCGTTAAAATGAGCGATGAGACGCACATTCACATTGGGACCGTGTCTCTTGATTTTCTCCAATACTTGGTCTATTTTTGAAAAGCTGAAGTTTACAGCAGAGCCAACTGGATCTGTGGTTTGTAAATGTACGGAAACGTAACCACAATTGCACTATATCTGTTACTTTTATGAAAACCTACACATTTTTCACCTGTATGCTATAAGCCTATAGGCCAATATTATGGTCTGCTTTCCTCAGCTTTTTATGCCTGAAAATACTTTGAGTCTACTTTTACACTGCTAATGCATTTATCAATGACTTTTAAGGCCATCATTACAGTTACACATCCATAACATTTAATCTTTGTATTGCTTTGCATTTGAGATACCAAGCTGCACGCACTCTGGTACTGAACAATTATCTATTCTACAGCTTTCTAACCCCAGCCGCTGGCTATATCTTGTGTGTATTCTAGCATATTTGGACCCTACAGCATGGATGTGATGACAAGCTGTGTATTCAGTGTGGACCTGGACTCGATCAATGACCCTTCAAACCCCTTCATTACCCATGCCACAAAGCTTTTCAGATTTTCTGTGCCTCTGTTCTTGTTTCAAGGTATTTCTGCTTCATTAAAAAACAAAAAAAAAAACTTTTACGTCATTATAAACAGTTTTTGTTTTATTCTGACTTAAGAATATTGGCTTCTTATGCTTTCTCAGGGTGTTTTCCAGTCTTTATTCCTCTTTTGAATTTCCTTGGAGTTTCTTTATTCCCCAAGTCCTCTACTACTTTCTTTAGAGCTGTTGTGGAGAAAATCAGGGCAGAACGGAGTGAGAGCTCAAGAAAGGTTTGTCAAGAAAAACAAGTCCTGAATGTTCAAAAATGTATGTGCTGATTCTTTAAGTTAAAAGGTTAAAACAAAGCTTGTTATGACATACATTTTACTCACACTTGCTTCTGTCCAATTTTTATCTTTCAGAGTATGACAGACGTTCTCCAGTACTTCCTGAACTATCAAACAAACAAAGTCAGTAAAGAAAGAGAGACTTGGGGTAATTACCACAGGATGTACTTTAAGGGCTTGATTTTAAAGTAAAAAAAAAAAATCCCATTTAATCCCAGAGGAATAAATGTGATTTTTTTTAGATGTAAAGTGAGAGAATTCTGTACTAGATATGGCAGGAAAAAAGGAAGGAACAAAAAGAAACGGGAAAAAAAATAATTCAGGACATCAATATCTGCTGTAAAATCTATTTTTCAACAGATGCTGATAAAAACAAACTTATTGAATTAAAATCTAAATTAGATTTTTTTTTTAAGAGCAGGTGAATTGAGAATGGGGGGGAAAAATGCTTATATTTTAGCAGATCAGAAAAAAACACGCAAAGAAAAATGCAGGTATGGCTCTAAATATCGGAAAACAGACATATAACTAAAAAAGAAATGACTTGTGAAATATTTGCATATGATAAAAACTTATACTTTTCAGAGTTCCCTGAAACTATATCTAACTACTTTTTTAAGGATTTCAGAAATATTAGTACCACACATGACCTGGGCCCCTGGGTGTCTTATATACATATCTAAAATACACACTTTAAAGAATAACATTTTATGGAAAATGTTTTGCAATAAGCTACCACTCGCTCAACATTTAAAATGTAGACATTGACAGTTTAGTGTGATACTTACATTATTTATTTAAATACATATTTTCCATTATTGCCATCCACAATTATACAGCAGTGGTTTTCAAACATGGGACTCACTTTTTCTATTTTAGATATGTCTCTGCTCCAGCAAACTTTTGCAGCCACCAAGGGCTGCAGATGCATGTTAATTAAACATTTATTAAATGAGGTTTGTGGAGGCAGGGAGACACCTAAACCTGCAGGAGAGTGGGTACTGAGTTTCCCACCCATGTTCGAAATCTCCCTCCAAGCTCAGATAAATAGTTGAGGGCCGTGTGTTCAGAAATATTTTAGCACAGGAAAACCTTCTGAAGATCAGGCCTTAAGCTGCCAAATTTTTACACCAATGTTAAGAGGATTTTTAATGGTCCCCTTCATATCCATTCCAACAGGTCTCAACGACCATGAGATCCTTTCTCAACTCACAATGCTGCTATTTGCTGGTTATGAAACCAGTGCCACCACTCTTGTTTTCTTAGCATACACTTTGGCAAGGAACCCTGAAGTCATGAAACAACTGCAACAGGAGATAGACTTAACTTTTCCAAATAAGGTATAACCAGTATTTCTCTGTCTCAGTCCGAATTAAGAGATAAAAATGAAAACTTCTGTGTTTAAACTCCTCAGGGTCTGGTCCAGTATGACGGTCTGATGCAGATGGAGTACCTCAGCAGCGTAGTGGATGAGTGTTTAAGGTAACATGTATTTGCGGTTTGGGTTTAGGAACAGGAGTTAAAAGTGTCTCATTCTTTTTACAGGCTCTACCCCCCTGCTGCACGTATAGAGCGAATGACTAAGGAAACTGTCAGGATCCAAGGAATCACAATACCAAAGAACATGATTGTTCAGGTTCCAGTCTATGCCCTGCACCGCGACCCAGACCTGTGGCCTGATCCAGAAGAGTTTAAACCTGACAGGTAGCTGAGATTAATACCATCCACAGTTTATACCTTGCTAACAAAGGTTTGGAGACTTACCGTATTTGTTTTTATCTTGGCCCAAAGAGGGTAAAGCTTCAAACTGGTTTTGATTGACAATTATTTAATTTTAGGGAGTTGTTTTAAATTGATTGATTGATAGACATTATTGATCTCACAGTGGAGAAATTAATTGGTCAATAGTCAAAAAGAAAGGTGCGTAAAGGAGGAAAAGGTGCTTGGGGGATATATACAGTGCATTTCCATGTATATATACCGTGTATAAATATATATATATATATATATATATATATATATATATATATATATATATATATATTATTGCACTGGGTATTAAAATAGTGATTGCACATTAGTTTTTGCACAAGTTATTGCACAAGTTTTTGCACAAGTTATTGCCGTTGTAGTGCCGCACTGTAAGGTCTGATAGCATCAGGGATGAATGACCTGCGGTAGCACTCCTTTTTACAAACAGGGTGTAAAAGTCTTTCACTAAAGGAGCTGCTCAGCTCCTCTACACTCTGGTACAGGGAGTGAGAGGTGTTGTCCATGATGGATGTAAGCTTGGACAGCACTCTCCTCTAAGCCACTTCCTCCACTGAGTCCAGACAGCAGCCTAGGGCAGAAGTGGCCCTTCTCACCAACTTATTCAGTCTCTTTCTGTCCTGCTCTGAGCTGCAAGGGGCCCAGCAGACAACAGTGTAGAGGAGGGTTGGCGCCATCACAGTCATAGAAGGTTTTAAGGAGGGGCCTGCTCACTCTAAAGGACCTCAGCCTCCTCAGGAAGTGGAGGCAGCTCTGGCCCTTCCTATACAGGGCGTTGATGTTGTGACTCCAGTCAAGGTTATTATTGTTGTTAGCACCCAGGTATTTGAAGCTCTACAAAGTTTTTATTTCTACTTTTTATGGCAAATCCTTCAAAAAATATTATGAAAAAATCCTTTATATAAGATATGCTTAAAATTCTGAAAATGCAAAAACTAGCAAATAAGTGCAATATCCAACAGTCAACTGTTAAGAAGTTCATTGCTGAGAGATGCATCATCCTCCCAAACTAGCCTCCTAATGCTAAGATTTCAGATAATAGCTCTTGGGGATTGACTAAATGTTTAAATGTGTTTGTGACATTTTTTCTTTTCTTTAAATTCAGCTACACTAAGGTTACTTTTAAATGTGAACACATGTTTACTCTTTATCTTGAAGTTGTCCACTCATTTACTAAGAGGAACTTATTTTAAAAAATAATTTGTGACCACTAGAACAAGCAGCGTAAGGAGGCGTATTGTGAGATCCAGTTTAGGAAATGCACCTTTGCACAGACGTTCTCTCAGTCAAGGGATGCACAAGTTGGAATGCACTGCCCATAGCAGTCAAGGACAGCTTCACCTTTGTTTAATTTAAGAAACAACTTAAGCAATAGCTTCTTGGTAACCAGATTTATTATCACTAGGAAGTACATTAGACGCTTAAAAGTGTAGAATCTGGTACAAAGCAGTTAGCAGTATCTACCTCATTTAATACAATGCACCTTATTAGCAAAAAACTTTAGCATTATCTACCTCAATATCAAAAGCACCTTGAAACATAAGCCTTCCTCAAGTATGCAGTCCTGTTCACTGCGTTCTATGTCATCTGTGGGTATTGCATTGCGTTTTCTTCTGAAACGGTCTATTGTTTTTATAATTTTTGAATGTCCTATGTCCTTGTTCCATGTATGTTTTATCTTTGATCTGTATTTCTTGTTGCACGTATCATATGTTTCCTCTTGTACCTGCTGCCCCTATCCTATGGGACCATGGATGGAAACCAGCTAAACCCAAGTGTATTTATAGCTCCTATGTTCATTAATACATGCTGTCCTTTTCAAATAAACATATTTGAAAATAGTCAATAACCAAAACCCCACCAGACACCATGACTAGCACCAAGAGCAAAAAAAAATCTTTAATCCATTTTCTAACGACCTCAAACAACATAAATTTGGGGATCATAGAAAGAGCAACCTGTTTTAGTATTTTCCATAGCAGAGAGTCAGTGAAAGAAATAAATCCTTATTCATCCATCTCATTGGACGGAGTTCATTTCTTAGCAACACTCCCTGTAATCCAATGCACTGCCAGATGTTATTGCTTCCTACTACGATATATAAAAAGAAACTTTTCTGCTTTTTACATGAGAACTGATGGAATTTAAATCTGTTATTGATCCATTTCTATAAAGGTTTGTATACCTGGTGTATTGACTGAAACAGTATGCATGTTCCTTATTGAAATGTATGAAAAGAACAGATAAGCAAGACAAGTGCAGTTGTCATAAAATCTTAGATCAATGGTTCTTTTGTTTTGCTGCTCTTTTTAGATTTAGTAAGGAGAACAAACATAATATCAACCCATATGCTTATCTGCCATTTGGAATGGGACCAAGGAACTGTTTGGGGAAGAGATTTGCTCTGGTGATGATTAAACTGGCCTTGGTTAAGGTACTGCAGACCTATAGCTTTCTGGTCTGTGAGGAGACTGAGGTAATTTTATATAAATAAATAATAAAAATCTCATTGGTCATTTCGAGGAAAGAAAAGAAAAAAAAACATGTCTGACTTTTCTGTTTCTTGATTCCCAAGATCCCTCTGAAGATGCACCCTGAGGGCCTTGTGGGACCTCTGAAACCAATCAAACTAAAGCTCAAGAAACGCACTGTTGTCTCACCAGATGTGGAGAACTAAAGACAACAGCCTGTCTAATTTTACATCACTCAAGGCTGAGAATATTAGTGAATATTGTTGTAGTGTGACTCGACAATTGACTTTGACATTAATTCGGAATACAATATGAATGGACATGTTGAGTGAAGTGGGAGGAAATCTGAGAAAGTGTTTAGATTATGAAGCAAAGTTGACAGATGTGTGTGTACACAGTCTTGCTAATACTTCTATTAGTGATAGCAATGGTTTTCTTACGCCACTGTTCTACAGTCCAGTTCGGAAATATAAGCTGCTGGCAAAAGGGGCATAACAATGTTTGCGTCTGATGATCACGCCTGGTGCCAAACTTCTGTTCAAGCTTAAAAAGGACTAAGTAAACACTATTAAGACATTCACTTGGCAAATATTATTTTATTTGAAAAGTAATGCTTTCCTATTCATAGTCCGTGATTAGTCCCCTATATACCAACGACCACTTTGGCATGATTTTTGTTTACTCAAATTCTTTTAAAATGTAAACCAAATATTTTTGGTGGTTTTGTTAAAAGTGCTAAAAAGGCTATACTGTAAAACACATAGCAAAATTTGTATGTTACTGCAAATAATGTATTTGATATTGCTAAAAATTGGACTTCTCAAGACTAAGGTGGTATGGAGACTGATGGCCAGTCCTGAAGGCCGGCAGAACACACCTGTAGGATACAACTTTTTAATCTCCGATCCCATTTTCTTCCCATGTCACACTGACTGCATATAGAGGAAACAACTAGGCAGGGTGGGCAGATCTGTGCAGATTTATTTTATTTTCCTGGAGATTGACAATGCGCTTTCTGTCCCTCGTTTTTGCACCAGTCTGTACTGCTTGCTGTGTATGCTCTGTGCGACTCCAGAAGTGAATTTTTCCACATGTGATTAACAGATTTTATTATGTATTTCCCCCCAAAGTGGATGTGTTTTACTTTGTAAAACGCATCTCTCTTCATGTCAGACCCATGAAATAGCCGCTGAATTTCTGCGTAGTCTGACTAAAATAGACCTGGGGAGAAAACAAAAAAAGAAAAACATGGACACTGAGGATTAGAGCTAAACCAGAGTGGAGCTAAGTTTATTTTACGTTTCTTTTTTTTTTAACATGTACTAGAAAACTTATTTCATCTTGGCAAGCGACTTTGTTTTTTATTTGTTTTTCTTTACTAGTTGAAAACTTATTTTATCTATGAAGGATTTTGATCACTTTGCTGTGAGTGACATGCACTATAGATAACTAATTGATCATCATTCAACATTTATTGCCAGCAGAAATTTAAAAGCTACAAGTTAAACCCTTAACACTAGCTAGTTGTCACTAATATCAAGCACTGCTTTACTAAAGGGAGAAATGTATTCAAATAATAGAATGAATCAACTGAATATTTCTACATTTTCAATGTTTATGATGCCATCATGAAGTAACTATTATGATTTGAAAGGCAGATAATTATACATTCTAAAAGATTTGGGACAAAAATTCACAAAAAAATATTGTTTATTGTTTTCTTTTCTTTTTTTAAATTTACACTTTTTTTAAGGGAACAAATATCCCGACTTCAAGGTATCCCTCAGCAAATATAGTTGTAAGTCTGGTTGTTTTGGCTAATTGTCTCATATACTAAATATTGTTCTTCTAAATGTAATTTACTTTCAGCTCCAGTCTGGTGTACATCCATGTAAATATTTAACAATATAGAATGCCTTGGAAAAATATGCTTCATCTTTAAAAATTCTTAATTCCCAGTCCTCTACTTGCTTGATAAAATGTTATATGGCAGAACTTCCTGTTACATAATATGTCAAAATAAAAATAAATAAATAAAATGACAGCACTTGTGTATTAAGTTGATCTTTTTTCCATAACTTAGATACACACTGAATTTAAAAGCAAAAAAGTAGGTGATCAGGTTTTGAGAGAGCAACAATAAGGGTTTAGGATCACATTACAAGTGTGTCATAGGGCCAGGCTGACGAAGCAGTAAGGAACTAACTTGTGACAGTCACGTGTTTAGGTGTGTTAGGTGAGAAGTTAAGTAGTGTTCAGATAAAAGGAATAACTCACTGCCTGGGTAAGAGTTTGGGTAATTTGATAAACTGCCTATAACCTTTAGATCCAAAAAGAATAATCCTGGTTTAATCATTCCTTAACATGTTGTGCAATTCTCATTAGGTCAGACTGTGTGTTCTTTTCTTTCTTAGAATTTTTATTTCAAATTTGCAGGACTCCATAAGGGGTCAATATGAGAGGGATTAATGCACATTATCTGGCATAAACTGAAGGGATAATATAAATTTTGATTGTTTTTATTGCTGCTGGAAGACTGGAATTTCTCCTTGCAAGACAAAGTTAATATTTTCTGTTTTTTTGTATCCCTTTAAATGATGATTTCCTGTTTTTCTCCACTCCTTTCTGGCTTTAGTTTCCATTTGCTTTTAAATACAATTTACACTTCTTTAAATGTAACCACACATTTTACTCACGTTTTCATGCATGATGACCAGAATGTTCCTCCATAAGAGTGGTTCACCTGATTTTGCTTATAAGCATTTAAAGAAACAAAACAAAAAAAATATTAGAAATGTATCAACACCTAATTATAATAAAATATATTAGCCATGTTGTTTTATATTAAGAATTTTATTTGTTTTCATTTTGGTATATTTAAAAAAACTGTTGTAGAAACAAAATGCTGATTTTTGACCCAGTTTTAGTAAGTCAAAGGCGAGTAGACATTAGACATGAACGTAGAAATGAGATAAATAACATTTGACACAGTTGGTGAACCATTGCACAACATATACTCACAAGAAAAGTTCATCCAAAAACATCTGTGTGCCAACTCTGAGGTAAAGTCAAAAACAGAACAGAAAGCAGGTGCTATTGATAAAATGAGGCACGAAAATCTCTTTCCCAGTTTCTATCTTTCTGCTCTCTTCTCTTGATCTCATCTTTCTTCTGCCCTTTCCTCCCCCTCTCTTCTCTGTCTTGAGGTCGGTGTTTTACAGCACTCTGATCCCCTGCTTTGAAATGAGTAACCTTAGCTCTTTTGACGGGTCCGAATCCCAGACCTTTATGGTCTCTCTTTAACACAGTCGATACCGGCTGTTTAGGCCCATCGGCCTCCGGCCCGAGACCAGTGCCTGGTTTCCAGCCGCAGCGAACCATCATCTTGTAGCTGTTGCTGGATGGAGGGAGGCAGTAATAGGGCGAGGGCTGAGGGTGATGCTCACTGAACTGATGCAGAGTGGAAGAAAGATGCGACGAGTGGCTGGTTCGGAACTCACAGCGGCATATATCGCACCATTGAGGCTGGCGCAAGCTGAGGACATCAAGAAAGCATGATGGAACAGACATGTCAGAAATACATGACTTTCTACGTTAACTGAACCAAACACTATGGGGTTCATTGTAAAACTGACTAACTCCATCAGAGTGATATGGCTTTGCAAAAGCATTAAAAATATACCAGTGGTATGAACTTTAGTTTTAAAGAGATGCTATGCTGCAGCTCAAACTAAGCCTCTGTAGAGCTGATTCTCATGATGCCGAGGAAATATAGCCATTTGATTTAGATGTTTTGGAAAATAGATGCATCCAAAAGTAAAACTCTTGCAGGATTGGACTGGTGTCTTTAACTGCATATTATTGGTGTTTTCCTGGTTAAAAAATGGAGAGTGCAATCTGTTTAACTGCTATCAATAGGAATGTATCTTATAAAGAGGAAGGGAATAACTTCTGCAGGTCATTTGTTTTGGGAAGTTTTAGACACTACAACTACATGGATAAACCTGAGGTTACATTTTAGGCTGTATATGTTGTTTGAAAGTGCAGTCTATATATAAAGGCATTCCCTTGAAACTTTATCAGAATTACTTGTGCTAAATCCATGAGGTAGCGGTCAAAAAGTTGTTCATATTCTTTTAATCAAACTAATTTCATGTTATCATTCATTTTTGGGGGGTAATGATCCTTTAAACTGTAGCCTACGTTTGGAAGCAGGTTTTGAATTTTTTTTTTTCCTTTCTGTTTTTTCACAAGAAGATTTTTAAAAGCTCTCTAGATGTTCAGAGATTTGGATTTATTTATTTTTTCTACATAAGCCTGCTTTAAACTTTCTTGCCTGTCAAGAGTGTATCTTGTTTTTCAAAATGCTGTATGTTGACTGAGCTATATTTATATTTTGAGTGTATTTAGAAAACAGATGGCTAGTGTGCTCCAGACCAAAAACTATCTTCTTTGGTTTGGGTACGTTTTGCTTCACGTTGTACTTGTTGCAAATAAAATGTTTTAATGAACTAATTTATCATAATTAAGGCTTGAAAAGAGCAGTCTGTGTGTAATCAATCTGGGAAGTGTGCTCCCCTAAGAAATTCGACTTACTGAGGAAATAAAGTCTTCAAATCTTTATTTTATAACAGTAGTCAACTTAAAAATAACCCAATAAACAGACTAGCTGCATTTCCATTAACCGTCAAATTGCGCAAAATGTAATAAAGATATATCTACAAAATGGAAACACTGCTATTTCAAAAAAAAAAAAAAACAAAAAAAAAAAACAGCGCTTTAAGACAAAAGGTTTTTACACTGTGATGAGGTGGCTTTTCAGTCAGACTGAAATTCCTATATTTCGCAAAACTGCAATGGAAACCCTATTCCCTCATCACACGACTCACATGATCTGAAACTGGACCTTAATGCCTAGTAAAAGGACAAAGAAGAAGACAGGAAGTAGTTGGAGCATGATGGCGCTGCATAGTTGGATTCATGAAGACGCTTAGTATTTTTTACATGTAGATAGCAACAATGAGCACTAAAACTGATATATGGACATATGCTTTCATATAAGTGTTTATATCTGCTGACGGCATGTTGTTTTTAAGCGTTATCGCATCAACAAACGTATTAATGTGCAGTTTTAATTCAATTTCTAATTTAATGGAAATAGCACACATTGGTATTGTTGAAATTAAAAGAAAGTCAACATAGTTTTGCACTCATTAATAATGGAAAGGTGCCTATTGAAAGGCATTCAGTTCCATACCAAGCTCCATTTATTCTTCACAAATGTTAAAAAGGCTTTTAAAAGGAAGCACTTCAGATTGACTGACCTTTTTCTCTGATGTCTAGGACATGCTGTTCTCACTTTGGAGAATTTACCAGATTATAATATTCAGACTTAAAAAGACTTTTGTTTTACTGGATTTGCAAGCGGGGACAAACTTTAAGATAAGGTCCCATCATACCGCTGACATGTGTAAATATGAAATTAATATTTAAAAAGCAAAAACCTTTTGACTTTACAATTTTATGTTTACTTTAAATCTCAATAAAATGAAATTAAGTCTTTATATTAAATTTCACAAAGTTCCAGTATTGTGAATATCGTTTGATGCCAAAAGTCCCAACTAGGGCTCAAACGAATAATCTGATTAATTGTGATTAATTGATTATTGAAATAAACATAAACTAATTTAGTAATTGAATAATCGTTTACTGGAGCATAGAGGCTCTAAAACAGGCCTTTAGTTCACAGAGAAACCTACTTGGAGAAGTAATTATACCAGGATGTAAAATAATATATAACATTTTTGCATTTAGGATAAAAAGAAAAAACATTTGTCAATATGCTGTATCCAGAACTGCTCAAGTGGAAAAGTTTTAGTCTCACCTAGTTTAATTTAATAAAAAACTTCTTTAAAGGAATAGTACACCCAAAACATGATTAGCCTTCATTTTCTACTCACCCCCATGCTGAACAACACTCTGGAGTACTTTTTTGATATCTCAAATGCATCTGGAGATCTGGGAGGCTTCTTGCTGTCTGCTGACATTCAAATAATGGAGGTCTATGGCGCCCGAGACAGAAAGGTCCATAAAAGTCCACAAAAACGTGTCAATATTCCTCCATACTGCTCGTCCAATGTAATCCAAGTGTCCTGAGTGGGTAGCATCCAGAATTTACTCGAAACGAAGTCATTTTGAACGTTTTAGAGCATAAACAGTAGTGTATAGGATTTCCTAATAGCGCCCCCATGCGCGCTCACGATTCTACGGAAGCCGGCAGACCAAACCGGAAGAAAGTGCGCATTCAGCGTCTGCTCTGCCGATAATGCAAGCGTAGAAGAAGAAATGTGCTGTTTACCTGTGCAAAGAAAGAAACAACGAAAGAAAAATGTCTGAGGACTTCAGTGTTGAGGAAGAGCATGAGTTCTTTGCCGAGCTGAATGCGCTGGTTTGGTCTGCCGGCTTCCGTAGAATCCTGAGCGCGCATGGGGGCGCTATTAGGAAATCCTATACACTACTGTTTATGCTCTAAAACGTTCAAAATGACTTCGTTTCGAGTAAATTCTGGATGCTACCCACTCAGGACACTTGGATTACATTGGACGAGCAGTATGGAGGAATATTGACACGTTTTTGTGGACTTTTATGGACCTTTCTGTCTCGGGCGCCATAGACCTCCATTATTTGAATGTCAGCAGACAGCAACAAGCCTCCCAGATCTCCAGATGCATTTGAGATATCAAAAAAGTACTCCAGAGTATTGTTCAGCATGGGGGTGAGTAGAAAATGAAGGCTAATCATGTTTTGGGTGTACTATTCCTTTAAGCAACATTTGGCTATTGAATTATTAATCAATTATTTGAAAAAATAATTGTCAGATTAATTGATTTGCAAAACAATTAGTAGTTGCAGCCCTAGCACCAACAAATTTCCATAGTTTTATTAATGCTTTTGTACATCGCTCCCTGTACTATTTCATCTGTCTAAAATACAAAGATTTGATCTGTTTCTCCTATCTAAATGCATCTAGACCACTTGAAACAAAGTGGTTTCTCTTAAAATGCATAGTCACTTTTGAACAAAGGATGATGAATATGAACTTGTTAGATTTTCTATACGTGTTATAACTTATTTTACAAAAGGATTATTTATCGTCTACGTAAAACTGCTAACCTGCTGTCAGTAGTTGCCTCTCTCTGTGGACTTCTTCCATAGTTTAACAACTCATTTAAGACGTCTTCATGACCAGCTGAGGAGGCACAAAACATATCCAGCATCAATAAACATAATTCACTAATATGATAGCAGAGTAGTGTGCATAGAAGCATGAATATACCTTCTCTTGCCAGGTCTTGGGCATCCCTACCCCTTGTATCGACCACTCCGACCCAGGCTGCACCCTGACGCAGCAATAGCCTCACAGCATCTTGTTGCCCTGCCCAGCTGGCACACATCACAGCTGTCCAGAGATATGTGTCCTGTAAGAAAGAACAAAAAATAAATTAATTAATAAAGTCAATCAGATGATATATTTAACTTTAATTTTACAATGGAAAGATTGACTCTGCATTTAGCCCATCCCCTTTAGGGAGCAGGGGGCTGCCATTGTGGGGCGCCCAGGGAGCAGTGTGGGGTTAGGGGTCTTGCTCAGGGACCCAGAGTGGCAGTCTGTGGGAGTGGGGCTTGAATTCACAACCTCAGGATCCCAAGCTCTATGGCCACCAGGCCGCCCCTCCCATTTTGTTCTTAAAGAAATGCAAGTACCTGAAAGTTTATGTCCACTCCTTTTGAGATCAGCTCCTTTAGTCCTGAAATATCCCCTTGATGAGCGCAGCGCAGGAGCCTCAGTCCCATCAGCTCCTGAACTCTCTCTGAATTGACTGCTTCTCTTTGGTTTCTTCTGTCTCTTTGTGCCACAGAATCAGTGTTTTCCTGCTGGACTCGTTCAGCTGCGGCTCTCCGGGCTCTCCTGTTGGAGCCCCTGTCATGATTGTTCTTGTTTGTTGCTCTTTTCGATCGTTCTGCTCGAGTTGTGTCATCTTTCATCAAGTCCTCATAGAACCTCCTGACTTCTTCTCCGCTCAATTTGGAGCTTCTGTTGGAAGAAATCGGCTCCGACCTAACACTGAAAGCATCCTTTTCACTGGCGGGAATAAATCCTAAAGCAGCCATTAGACGAGAGAAAGTTAAGCTTCTCCCTGTTAAAATCCGTTGTTACTTTACAACCACTTTACGCAGGGCTGTTTCTTTATAGCTCAATTAGTTATTTGTTAGAAGCTTCGACGATAAATCGAAGGTTAGCCTGAAGCCTTAACCCGCCATCGTTTACCAACAGGTTTCACGTCAACAAGCGGATATTAGTTCTACATCAACACAAAACTGTGACTATTTTGTAACCATTCACATTAACAGGATGGGTTAAAATACTGACATAAACGCCTATTAGACTTAAACGTCAAAGCAAAACACGTAGCCGTGTAAGCTAATGTTGTTATTCCGGTGGTACTTCTTCTTCTTCTTCTTGTTTTATTGGCGACTTGCAACCAAATGGAGCATTATCGCCACCTACTTGTTCTTATTTATATTTCCTTAAATCCTTAGTTTTATTCCAGTTTGTTGAAGATAAGATGACATGATTTTAAGTACTGTCTTTCTGGATTTATTTGAGAAGATATTTTTAATGTCCAGTTGTTTGATTCCTTCATGTTCCAGTCCTTTCCTTAAATCTATTCTTTGACTTGCATATTTAATACACTCAAACAGCACATGTTCTATGGTTTCTGGTTGACTACACATGTCACATTTTCCTGTTGGATGCTTCCCAATAACATGCAGTGATGCATTTAGCCTCGTGTGGCCTAACCTAATTCTACTAAACATCCCCTGTTCTCTCCTGCTCTTCCCAAGAGGCTCTTCTTCTCCCACCTTTTGCTGTATCCTATATAAATGTCTTCTTTTATTTCCATTATCCCATAATTTTTGCCACTGTACCTTAATTTTGCTTCGTATGTACGATTTGATTTCTGTTTTGCTAATTGGTACTTTTACTTCTACCTCATTTATCGACAACCCCTTCTTAGCTAACGAATCTGCCATCTCATTCCCTTTAATGCCACTATGTGCTGGAATCCATAAAAACTGAACATCAATCCTCAGATTATGTACTCGGTATAATGATAACAAATTTTCTAGCATAATATCCTCCCTACATTTAGATACCGTATTTTTAAGACTAGTCAATGCTGCACTTGAATCTGAACATATTAATATTCTCAGGGGTTTGACTTCCTCTATCCAGTATAATGCCAACATGATTGCCATCAATTCTGCTGTATAAACCGACAAATAATCAGTTAATCTTTTAAACACCTTAACTTTTAATTCAGGAATGTAAAATGCACAACTTGTTTTTCCATTCTCTGGATTTTTTGACCCATCAGTGAATATATGTACATAATACCCATATCTCTCATGAATCAAAGTGTTCACATAAGTTTGTATACTAAACATGTTATTTCTTGAATTTATCTTCTTTAATAAAGAAAGATCAACATTAGGTTGAGGTAGTAACCATGATGGTATAGCTGGCATTAAGACAGTTAGACTAACGTCCCAATTATTGATTTCTAACTCCTTGATTATCTGAATAATTCCCTTACTAAATACCTCCTGTTTAATTTTACTGCTTTCCCAACTTTCACTTAATATTCTTTTTGTTGGATGCATTTCTTTTTGACTTTGTAAATTAGTCCAATAATTTGCCCTCAACTGTTTCCTTCTAAGGCTTAATGGCATTTCTCCAACCTCCACCTGAAGCGCAGATATTGGAGTTGATTTTACTGCTCCACAACATATTCTCAACGCTTGAGCCTGAATTATGTCCAACCTTTTTAAAGATGAACTAGCAGCTGAATCAAAAACAATACAACCATAATCTAGAACTGATCTAATTAATGCAATATATACATTTTTCAACGCCATACGATCAGCTCCCCATATACTTCCTGATAAACACCTCATAATATTCAGTACTTTCTTACATTTATCTTCTATCTTATTAATATGATTTTTCCACGTAAGCAAACTATCAAACCACAACCCCAAGAATTTAAAAACTTTTACCCTTTCTAATCTTTGTTTATACAATTTCAGACAAACATCTTCTTTCACTTTCTTTTTCGTGAAAAACATGGCTTGAGATTTCTCAACAGATAATTTAAATCCCCATTTCAAAGACCAATCTTCCACCACATCAATAGAATCCTGAACTTTCTTTACAACATATTCTATGTTCCTTCCCCTTTTCCAAATTGCCCCATCATCTGCAAAAAGTGATTTTCCCATGTCAGGTTTAACCTTCTTATATACATCATTTATCATTATAGAAAATAGTACCGGACTAATGACGCTCCCCTGAGGGGTGTCGTTTTCAACTAAATAAGTGTCAGAAATATAATTACCCACACGAACTTGAATATACCTATCAAATAAGAAATCCTTTATCCAGTTATACATTTTCCCACCTATACCTATTTTATCTATCTTTATTAATAATCCTTCCTTCCACATCATGTCATACGCTTTCTCTATATCAAAGAAAACAGCTACTAACCCCTCTTTATTTGCTTGTGCTTTCCTAATATCATTTTCCAGGCATATTAAAGGGTCTAAAGTGCTCCTACCCTTTCTAAATCCACTCTGAAATGAAGATAATATCCCATCTCTTTCTAAATAATATGTTATTCTTTCTGTAATCATTTTCTCCATGATTTTACCCATATTTGACGTTAAAGCTATAGGTCTATAATGATCAGGATTTGTAGGATCTTTTCCAGGTTTTTTAATTGGGATGATAATTGCTTCTTTCCACCCTTTTGGTAACTTACCCTCCTCCCAAACTTTGTTGAATAACTCTAATACTTTACCCATTGCAAAATCATTTAAATTTTCTATCATGGTATAACTTATATTATCCTTTCCAGGCGCCGTTCTTTTACTCTTACTTAGAGCCCTCTTCATCTCATGTATGGTAAATGCCTCATCTAGAGGACTCTGAGTATTTAATCTTTTTTCAAGTACTTCCGGAAATCTATCTAACGTTTGTTGTCTTCTTACTTTACCTACTTCTGTCAGATTATCTGAGCTATGAATCTTAACAAAATTCTTTACCAGCATTTCTGCTTTGTCTTTATTCTCCCACGCTACTTCTTTCCCTTTTTTCAGCACTGGCAGATCTTTATCATGTCTAATTCCCCTCATTCTTTTAATCATTCCCCAAACTTTATCTAGTGGTGTTGTTCTTCCAATAGTACAACAGAATTCTCTCCAATAATTGTTTTTTGTCCTTTTAATAACCTTTCTAACTATTGCCTGTGTTCCGGTGGTACTGGCAAACGTTTCCTGCTAAACTAATGTGAGTGCTGCCACCTACTGGTCTGGTCCTGTATTGTTGCGTTTAATGCTGTTGTTGCTCATTACCGCCACCAACTGGTGAGGAGTGTGGATCAGAATGGCCCTATTCAGAAAGATACTTATATTTATTTATCTATAATATTACTTTACAAATACTGATCCCCCCCCCCCATTATTCCTGTTATTATTAAATATTTAAATAAATATGAATAATAATTTTTTTAACCTTTTTTGCAGAATATCTATCATATCAAATGTATCTTTCTCCTTATTTAGGTCTCTAATTCTTTCTTTCTTGTTCATACTTCTTACAATACATCACTACATGTTCTACTGTTTCCTCTTGTCCACTAAATTCACACTTACCCGACATATGTTCCCCTATTTTGAATAATGTATTATTTAATCCTGTATGTCCAAATCCAAGTCTTGAAATAACTGTTGCCTCTCTTCTGCTTCCTTCTGCTATCCTCATTTCTTCAACTTTCTGCTGAATACTATAAAACCATCTTCCTTTCATTTCTTCCCATTGTTTTTGCCACCTTTCCTTCATCCTTTGTTTAATGATACTTTAAATTTCGGTCTTACATAAGTTAATCATCATATCAATGGTTTTATTTTGTGCCTATATGTGCTGGCACCCAAATAAATATAACACTAATACCCATCAGCTAAACTTGATATAAAACTAGCTGTATTTTAAGGGGATGGGTTCAGTTAAAATGTATTTTCCAAACTATGATTTTGTGTACTGATTTACAAACTAAACTTGAATCTGAACATATAATTTGCCTTAATGGTCTCAATTCCTCTATCCATTGTAATGCTAATAATTCTCCTGTATATAGCCTACTGATGATTCATTATTTATTCTCCTAATCTCCTCCGTTTTTTTCGGAATTTAATATGATTAATAAAGTACTTTTCAAACTGAACACAAAAAAAGAAGAAATATGAGACAGCTTGAATTTCAAAAAGGTATTATCCTTCTCACGCGCGTCAAGTCTTGTAGAGGCACAAGACACAGAGATAGTGACTTATATGCAAAAGGTGTGCAGGTACTTTGTTATATGATGTCAACCAACTGTGGAGACGGTTCTCCACAGGAGCCACCATGGGCCCCTGATGTAAAGACATAATACTAAAATAATGTATGAATAAATATGTACAGGCACGGAAACCCAATATGATAGGTCCCTGGGAACTGTTTTACTTTTTTTTTATTAAGCTTTATTTTAAAGATGGAAATTGAGACTGATGGATTGTTGCACTTTTAGCTTAAGTCATATAGAGATGTGATCATGGTTTCATCTGCTAAATCTGATGTTTCCAGACTAGCAAATGGATCTTTAGTTCACTTATTGTTTCAAGCAATGAACCATCACCCTATTTAATAATACATTTTTTGTTTAATTCTGGTTCATTAACCTCATTCTAGTTTTTTAATTACCTGATGTAGCTTGCCACCATCAGTGTGTGAGTGTGTGTGTGAATGGGTGAATGAATGAATATAGTGTAAAGCACTTTGGTCAAGTCTCCTGACTTGAAAAAGCGCTATGTAAGTACAGGCCATTTACCATTTATAGTAACCTGCTTGTGAGGAAAATACTTTTGCATGGTACCTGCCTCAAACTGGCTCTGATACTTTCCCTACTTACAGTGGGGTAGGGGGCAGCTCATGCAGGTGAAAAGGTTTTATGACTTTATTTAACTGAAACAGCTTAGATGGCAAACTTTTACATCTCCAAACTGTCTCTATCATACACCACTGAGTGCTCACTGCTCTTAGCACGCTCTTAGCAGCAAGACATTATATATATATATATATATATATATATATATATATATATATATACATACAGATATTTTATTATCTGTGTACTTTTTTTTATCGTATTTTATGTTTTTATCTTTGCTATCTGGCAGGTGAATTTCCCCTATAGGGATTAATAAAGTATCATCTATCTATCTATCTATCTATCTATCTATCTATCTATCTATCTATCTATCTATCTATCTATCTATCTATCTATCTATAAATGGCAGCATGCAGAGCACTAGCTAGGAAACATCTCTATAAGAATTGGAA